AAGAGGCCAATCGTTCACTTGGACATTTCAGTTTTAGAAATTATTTAAAACTATTCCGCTATTTCGCTATATTATTGAAGGTAAAATAGCTGAAAATTAAATTATCAATATCACGTACGAGTTCTCCATTCCTTGAACTTCGCAAATGTAGCCAACAAGGTCTGTTTGACTCCGTTTCCAAGCGACGGCGCATATCCCATAAATAGAGTCAGAAATACACACATAAGGGTATAAAACATCTCGTGTCCAATTCGCTGAAATAAATTAAATACGCCAAAAATAAACATGATCAATTTATGGAAATAGCTTTTCATAGAATGGTTCATATGCAAGAAGTTTGGATAGGAATAGACACGTTTTCTACCTACCTATAAATCAAATCTGGATTGATAAAATGGGGAATACTTGATGAAATAAAACGCATAGATCGTAACACAGGGACTTTACACAAATGATTTTTTTTAAATCTAAGTGTAAACGAACGATTTTTTAAGTATTGTAGAGAGACATTGAAAACTAAATTAATTTTCCCTTCGAAAGCTTGGACCATCCAAAAACCAGTTGTTACAATCTAAAATAATGATATTTATTACAATAATGCTGACATGTTCAGCAAATAATTATGGTGTGAAATCCTTACCAAGATCAAATCGGCTGGCGTTGGGCATACTTTCTTGATTTCGTTGGCAGTGACATAATGATAAAATCTGTTCAAATATCCAGGCTCTGGCTCCACGCTACACAAATAAATTATAAAGTTTACACTAAGATTTCAGTACTGTAAAATTTGTTAATTTCGAGGTATTTTATTTTTCGATTTGTTTTCATGAGGATGGAAAAGAAATATTGAAGAAGAAGAAGAAGAAGAAGAAGAAGAAGAAGAAGAAGAAGAAGAAGAAGAAGAAGAAGAAGAAGAAGAAGAAGAAGAAGAAGATTGTAAATAGAGAAATTATGTAGCTTGTTCCTGACTTCCGTAAAATCAATATTTCGGTGATACCGCAAAAAATCAAACTTACCACATGATGTCCCGATAAGCAGCAGGACCTTGGTGGATTGTGGTCAGCATTACCACAAACAGCAGTAACAGCTTGATATCCATTGTGGTACACCAAAGATTCAACATTAAATGTTTATATTTGGGGAGAGACTCATCATCACCTTCATTTCCGATTGCTAAGCAGCTTAGCAACTAAAATGTGACGTCACAAATGGACCACGGTCTAAAGTCCACTATGACGTCATGTTTTAGTCTTTGTAACACAATAGAAGCGATTGCAAACTGGGTGTTAACCTGACTATTTTTTCCCATTCTTTTCCGTTTTCCTAGATAAGGATTGAGGTATATAAATGGAAATTTTCTACCCGCGAACCCTACGAGACCTTGACCTGCAGTGTAACGGATCTGTGGGAAGGCTTCCAATACAAGATGCAGTTAGCAGAATTGTCGGTGACTCCTCGAAAAATAGGAATAGTTTCCTTTTTAACGTATTCAATTATCGATAATTAATTAAAATTTAAATCGTATTTAAAAGACAATATCAGGTGTAGTTAATTATATTTAATTGTAAACGGAGGGATTGTTCATTTGTATTTTACAATTTTAACAGGTATTATGGTGAATAATCGAACTTAAACTTGTGTTTATCATTACCTAACCTTACATACATCATGAAATATCTTTATTAATGTGATTTCCCAAACATGCTAAAAAATGTTCTGTATGCTCCAACAAGCAAAGGTCCCATGGATTTTCCCCGAGTACTCCGGTCCCCCCTCCCCCACACATAAGACCCATCGCGCGTATCCATACGGGCCAATAGGAGTGATTGATATTAGTTGGAAAACCTTGCTTCGCAATTGTTGTAAAATAAATAAAGTTTATTTTTATAAAAGGCAAAGGTCATGGTATTACATTAATCTCTCTCCCTCCCCCTCCCCTTTCCCTCTCTCTCCCTCCCCCTCCCCTCTCCCTCTCTCTCAAATTGTCTTACATGTCGATCCTTAGCTGTCAGCAATAAGGTTTTCAATGTCGTCTAGGACATACTACCATGTCATTCACCCTTTATTTGACACCAAGTAAGTCTTTGATTAAGTATGGCACAGTGCACTTATTCATAAATTAAGTCTCTCTCTCTCTTATACTCCTATGCTGGTTGCTGACGTCACCCAAATAAAACTAGTTCAGCATATTAGTAAAACGTATACTCGGTGTTGGGAAACGGACCCGATCCCAGAAAGTATACTCTCCACTCTCTCTCCCAAAATATCTAACCGCTTACATAGAGACTGGTTACTTCTCACCTGAATGGAAACTATTTATCAAAACTAAATTTCTCAAAAACAGAACTTTTAACTAAAGCAACGTCTGAACAATGATATGAATTACACGCGAGACAGGGAAGTGCATGATACATACAGTAAACCTTATAGTCTGCTTAGACTCGGAAACACAAGTGAAAATATACGCTGTATTAAACAAGTTATAAAAAATACTTACCTGTATACCTCATACTGATCACAAAATGTGTGGTTACTGTAACGAAGTTTATAAGGACGAAATAGAACATTTAATTATGAAGTGTATATCAACAGAGATATATAGAGAAAGCTATTTCGAAACAATTACAGACACATTCGCCTTTGAACTATATATATATATATTAGTGAGATTTAACTGAAGAACAAATGCTGTCTGTGTTCTTTGGTTAGAACTCTGCAATACGTGATTACATCAACATATCAGCTGATTGATCTTGTATATCTAGGGGGTCTTGTGTCCTGACATTTGTTGAAAAATTCTTTAACATTTCTACATGTACTTAAATATTATATAACTTGTGTCATATGGCGAGACAAAGAACTGTGGAAATAGACATTCTTTGTCAATTGTAATAGTCCAGACAAATTGATTGCCATCATGCCATTTTATTTTAATTATAGTAATTACAGAATTAACGTAGAAATATTTTCGTAATGATCATCATATACAATGTACATTTTTGTAACTATTCTAGGTATATCATAGAGCTAAATGTTGATGTGAATGTAACCTAATCTGTGTTATTATTATATGTTTTTCTCATTAGTGAAGAATAAAAGAGATGATGATGATGATGATGATGATGATGATGATGATGATGATGATGATGATGAAATCAAATAGGACATGATGATGTACAATTATAATTCACACCTGTCCATGTAAATTACAGGACCATATGCACTCCTATAACAAAATGTGATGTTTTTATTCATAAGATATTTCTGTCCTGAATTGTAACACTATGAGTTTTATGATATTAATTGAAGGTCGGGTCTCCCAAGTAAAACAGTACCTACTGTCCGTATTAGTACAAAGTGTAATTTGATTAAATCGCTCATCCATGACTGGCTCCATTCTACCTATGGGCTCTCGTGCCAACGACTCGATAAGCGCTAAGGGAACGTAACCCATGGTATCCCATAGAGATAGCTACATATGATTGACACAATACTGGTTAGTTTGTTGTCAATGCAATGTGACCTAGTAGGTCAATTTCATCTCAATATTTTTTCATTGACAGTACCTTTTCGTCAACAAAGATAAAATAGCAGGCTCTGTCTATTGTATTATGCGTTTTCTCAACAAAATGACCAGAACAACCCGTATTATTACTATCATACATGTAAAAGGAAGGGAGGTAACTCAGACATACTACACACATTGCAACTATACTTAATAATGATCACAAATCGAACAGTATTGATAACATTATAGAATTAGGAACAGTAATTGATTGTTTACTACTGTCTCTAGATTATGACATTTCAGTGTGATGGCACTACAGAACGCTATATACAGGATCATAGCACACTGTACACGAAGAGCACCAACATCACGGAAAAAACATCGGTCACAAAACAGGTTCGTGACGGTCAGATGATGTCAGGTGATAAGAAACATTGTTATTGACGCCGACGGATTCCACAGATTTGAGGAAGAACTAGAATATTTTGGAATTTGAATATTGTTTATGGACAAGAAAGAAAAATAAACTCTAGAGAATTCCTGTGTATTTGGATAAAAAAGAGGAATATAATATTTCATTGTTGATTTTGTCATACAATAAATAGTGCGGGATAAATAAAATTCCATTTTATTAAATCAACTTTTCTGGATTGTGAAAATGTTTAGAACTGTACGGGTTAACCACCAAAGTAATTAAACATTTTATGTCGGCCCGTCGATATTAACAGCTTGTTCGATACAAAGGTAAGACATTGTTTTACACTAATAAACAATTGAAATACACGATGCCTGATGTTGTCCAGCCTTCCGAAACTCACATAATATATTGCAATGAAACCATGATGCATGGATAAAATATAAAAACGCGAGGGATCAGAAATTATTTATAAAATGATATTTTCAAGCATTCAATAAACATAATAAAACAAAGAAACAAAAATTAAATAAATGAAAAAATAAAATCGCAATGTTCATAATGTATATCAATTGTAGTTACTGGTCCTTTTGTAATCATTACATATCAACTGATTAAACGATAAAAGAATTTGGAAGCCAATCAAAATAGATTCAAGTAATTTTCGTTCTTTTAACTTTTGTTCCACAAAACATTTTAACTATGTTGTAACAGAACCCTCTTTTTAAATATAACTCGAAATATGAGTTAGAAAAAAAACCGCTCTGTAGTCAATTGAAACATAAGATATATACGGTGTATAAAGATATATACACCTATATATGCGTACCCATCTCTCTTAGCAACCAGGTAAACAATATGGCCGCCAGATCGATAATTTTGCATTAACGATCTTACCTGGGAGCAGTGATCTACCTGGGCACATTGACAGCGATGTGTTAAAACCGGCTAAGGATTAATCTACCGGTATGGATTAGCAGATATAGACGAATGATTTCTGTGTACGATCAGGAAATGGTCACTTAGACCTGGATATGTAATTGGTGTCAAACTACAAGTAATAATATAGCGAAGAAAATGACGAATAGATCTACTCGTGCCCGCAGTGGAAAGAAGCGAGGAATTCGACTTGTAGATCTAGAATTCCAAAGTAACATCCAGGGGAAGGAGAATATTGAAAATGGCAGACGCCCTCATGGAGGCAATAACGGTATGTATAATATTAACATATGTTTACTAATTAGAATGCGCAGTTAAGTTTCAACACATAAAGACAGCAAGCATTTGATAAATTAAATGTCTTCGTGTTGTATAAATGGTATGTTTGCCATTTAACTGTTAAAGGCGGATATATTAGGTGTGTACAGTACACCAATCCACATAGTCAGCAGTAATATTGTGTACCCAAGGTATATAGAGTATTGAATACCTACCCCGGCCATTAGTACTTGGTCAGAATTACAAAAACCTGGCCAGGTTTCTTAACACACAACAGTCGTCTAATACTTCCTATAACACACGACTATCGACATAACACTACACTATTTAAATGCCAGTATTTTCAATACATTCTTCATTCTATATGTGGAAAGCCCGAATTTTAAACCTTATTTTTTTACATTCAATAAACACTTAAGTAATTACGTTACATGTTTGTTTGAGTTTTGTTCACACTACCTTCAATATGTAATATAAGTAGGAAATAATATTGAAAGATTCCCACTTGAAATAAATGTCGAAGGGAAGTTTGATAACTTTAAGACTGAGGTGATGATAGACGTCAGGCGATACTCTTTCCTGTTCATAAGTCTCCTTTCCCAAGAATCAATAAAAGCCGTAAATTTGTGTTATATTCTGAACAGCAAATGAATAGAATCTTTGATATCTGATAATGAAACTTACATTTATCAAACGAGTTACGGCAGTTTACATTGAAATTATTGACGGATGGTTTCCTTTATTCAATAAGTCTTTTGACAAGATGCCACTTTTGAAATACTTGGGAACTCGTGTCGTGGTGGACATTGTGTTGTAAATTATCAGACGAATATCTACGTACCTACGTAACGTTTAAGTTTTTATCTCAAATAAATAAAGTGTTCAGTATAAATACACCTTACATAGGTCAGGTAATGCTTTAGTGTGAAATGTTATATACACATGTAGATCACGTGTTTTACGTTTGATTTTTGTTTGAATTAAGGGTATATGTTACCTTACACTGTGTTAGGTTTAATGGTATATGCTGCCTAATACATGGTTGTCGTAATTTATGTTAAAGTTTTGATGATTAATACTTCACTGAGCGTCATAGTTGTGACTCTTAATACTAACACGCATATCACAATTGTATATCATTGAGTTAAGGGTATATGCTACTTTACCATTGTTCCGTCGTTAGTGTTATAATTAGGGACATACGATACCTCATATACTATTTTCCAATTTGTGTAGGAATGAGATATACATGCTATCTTACACATTAAACATATCAATTGTCTTAGAAATTAAAACGAAGACTAAACCTAGAATATGTCCTTCACACATTGTGATTTTTGTTAAAGTTAAGGATATATAATACCTTCATTAGAAATTAGAATTTTTTTTTTTTGCTAAAACCTCCCATTTATAGTAAGTATACCAGTCAATCCGGATATTTCATTCTGTTGTGTACAGTAATACTGTTATGTACAGACTTTGTACCCCTGTCTGTTGTGTACAGTAATACTGTATGTACAGACTTGGTACCCCTGCAGTAATACTGTTATGTACATACTTTGTACCCCTGTCTGTTGTGTACAGTAATACTGTTATGTACAGACTTGGTACCCCTGTCTGTTGTGTACAGTAATACTGTTATGTACAGACTTGGTACCCCTGTCTGTTGTGTACAGTAATACTGTTATGTACAGACTTGGTACCCCTGTCTGTTGTGTACAGTAATACTGTTCTGTACAGACTTGGTACCCCTGTCTGTTGTGTACAGTAATACTGTTCTGTACAGACTTGGTACTCCTGTCTGTTGTGTACATTAATACTGTTCGGTACAGTCTTGGTACCCCTGTCTGCTGTGTACAGTAATACTGTTCTGTACAGACTTGGTACTCCTGTCTGTTGTGTACAGTAATACTGTTCTGTACAGATTTGGTACCCCTGTCTGTTGTGTAAAGTTATCTATCTATTGAGTACAGTAATGTTTGCTCTGTATAGACTTGGAATCTCGGTCTTTTGTGAAGAGTAGGTTCTGTAAATTTATTTTGCAATTCAGTCTCGTATTTCTCTTTTTCAATGATAATTAGAGAGTAGTCGATGTGTCTAGCGCGTGTGTTAACTTTTCAGATGATCAAACTGTTGTCTGCTTGTGGAATAAATAGAGTTGCCTCTGTATTAAAAACAAAATTAATCTAAAAAAATATGTCACCACCAGTTTAAACATTGACGGAAAGCGTCAACTCACTAATCATTTGGTTTTACTAAACTTTAAGTGACAAGTCAGTAACAATAATAATTCGATATCCTTCCGAGGTGACGATCTCCATACACTTCCAACCAGTTCCTATACTTGTATTATTTTTAGCCTACAAGTTATTGCCTTAAATAAACTTTTTTTTCTGGCACTATACCACAATGTTTGTTCAGGTCGGAGAATCTTAATATCTAACACTTGTCTCTTTGTTTATTTATTTTTTTATTTGGTCTATCAGTCATCATTCGGATCGTGTATATGATTATATTATATAACATCAAAGCAGTTCACATGTTATTTTCAATATTGATGAGAAAACTCTCTTCGAAACTAAAACCCTCTGAGTGTTTAAAAATGTCGATATCGTAAGTTCATGTGTTCCTTTTCTTGTGAATACAGATCTTCTTCAAATGTTAGCCTCTTCATAAAGACATATTAGTCAGTAATTGTGATATGATAATTTGTTATCAAGAGAGTTTGAGGAGTGGCTATCTAGAATCGATCTAAATGTCTCCAATTAGTCATTACATACCGATAAGAAAGGATTTACTGGTCTGTAAATATGAATAATTTATCGAACATTCTGTGTACTTTTCCTGCTCATTTTATCTAAAATCATTGCTTTTGTCTACATTTACTTCTTTTATTTCCCTCCTTTTTCATCCAACATTTTGGTCCACAGTAGCCTCCATTTTAACTCAACCTTCTCGTCATCTTCCCCACTTCATTTCCTTCTATCTGTCCACTTCGGTTTTTGTCCGACCCTCTTCTTTGTTACCACACTTTCCTACCTTTATTGCCGAAAGTTAACAGTTATCTCGTCTTTTTACCACCCCACCACCCCCACCCCCCCCCCCCCCCCCAACCTCCCACCCCCACCCACCCAACCCCCATCTCCGTTGTTTCCTCCAATTTCCTATTATACTATTATATGTCTCATGTTTATTCCTTTTTTGTCAATCTCTCTTTCCCTGCCCACCAATTCTCCTTTATACCCACCCGTTTTCTCTCTATTGTCGTATTTTTTCTTTCTTTTGCTTGTCATAGTTTTTGTCCACTTTTATCGTTGTGTATACGTTTTTATCCTCCTCTCTGTCACTTCATTCTGTTCGTATATTCTTAATATTAACTTATGCTAGATTTGACCCTTCGTCTACAGTAAAGTCACACATATGAATTACACAGAAACGAAGTGATGTTATACACTGTATCAAACAGTTTTTTAATCGTTAATTTCAAGGAAAACATATTAGGTATTGTGGAGAGGGAGGGACCGTCGTATACCTGGTATATATACGATGTCTCCTTGCCTGAACAGTTGTATTATTACGAGAGAGCCTGCACTGATTAACACCCCCCGTTACATGGTCGCGGACCGTGTGGGACTAGTCAATCCATACTGGTGTTTCCTTTACTATTGTCGGTTCGAGATCATAGGCCCATTCACACGTACTCAGCTTTACATATCGGTAAACACCAATGAACTTTAACAATCAAAGCCGAAACTATGTTTGTATGTACATAATCTATGTCAGATGTGTTCGACCACTGTGAAAAACTCAATGAAAGTCTAAAAATAGCAGTTTATATAAGTCGCCCGAGGATTAAATGTAAGAAATACAATTAGCGTATATTGATTACTTATACTCAGTAAATTAATGAAAAATATGTATCAAAATATCTCCCTCTGTCTTATATATATATATATATATCCCTTCTCTCCCCCCTCTATCTCTCCCCTCTCTCCCATCTCTCTCTCACCTCTCTCTGACGTTAATTCTTTTTTCTGATATTCTATCTGAATGGCATTTCTATCTAGCCTGACAATATTCAAAATATTGATGTCTGGCCTTGTACGTTACATATCATACATATTTTGTATATTGTGACCAGGTGTGATGTTTACATTGTAACATATTATGCTAACACTTTACGGCAATCATTGTCTTGCACACTAATTCATTGGAAGGACTGTTACAAAGAATGCAGTTTAAGACAATGTACAATCCAATCTGTGCAAACGATACACTATACTCCTCTATATAAGTCTGACCGAATACCAGTCTGACAAAAAATCACAATATCATCCCTAAACAAACCGTTGTAAACACTTTGAACAGCCTTGCCAAAGGAATTTCACGTTTAACAACATCTTTGTAACATTCAACAATGCAGAAGTATTTAAAATCTATTTGGCGACTTCAATAAACGATATCTGTGAAAATCTTGGATGTTATCAAATAGTTCGTCTTTTAAACCTGCCACTGGGTTTGTGTTTACTTACAACCCTCCAGCGGCAGAGGGATATTATTTAAGCTTCATTCCTCTTGTGTAATGACATCCAATTAAAATACAAAACGTTGTAGCTAGATGGTGTGGTATAACTGTTAGCCACCAAATATTATTATAAAGAACAAAGCGAGCTGTTCACAATACGTCAGCTGAATGAGAAGGACAGTATCGTATTTATCTAGTCTTGATCCCAAAATATCGGATGAAGTTTAGCAATGCATAGCTAAAATATGCGCCTTTTTCCAAAATGTAAATTTGTCAATAACTAACGTTAGTAAATAAATAAATTGTATATATATAATGAGGATACAACAAATATGCAAAAAGAAAAATGGCAGGTACAATAAGCCAAGAATCAAACTAATCAACAACGGGACCAGGCATGCTTCTAAGAGATATTCTAAACCCAAAGGAAGTCAAAGGACACGGGACTGAAATCGATCACGGTTCCCCAAGCAACGCCCATTTGGTGATAGGTTAAGGTATAAGGATCAGACAATATAATGATCCAACTTTCTTTTCATATTTTTTAAATTTTAGTTAACGGAATTAAGGTTTTAAATAGCGACACGACAGACGGTAAACCATTATGAGCTCGAACCAACACCTGATTTCTATCCCATTGAGTGCAGTGATATTTATCAGTCGGGTTTTGCTACATTAAATATAATCGAATGGGCCTGAGTGATTCTATCTCGGGTAAGGTGTTGGTAACACAATATCGTAACGCTTACCTATTCAAATTGGTATGTTTATAGATAAGTAAATGGACGCACGTGACAAACTGAGTTACAGAACATTGTCAGTGGACTTTTACACCTTTTATTGTTAATCTGACCAACATTTGTCATCAAAGTGTCCGGTTTAAATGGCAAACAGTAATAAACCGTTGTACTCGCAACTGCCGTGGAAATGTGATAGTGTGATGAAATTTAAGTACCTTTTCATGTAGAATAATTTATTTTTCCTGGGTGTTTATTGAAAGCTAATGTATCACGTAAAAGCATGCTGACAAATTGATAACAGATTGAACAGTGAGCCCTGTCCGGACAATTAAGTCTTTTAGCTGGAAATTCAAACGTCTGTGCCCCCATAAAAAAAACTTTGTGGTAATAACCATACGAATATATAAAATGAATCTATTAAATTAGTTAAAATTGAATTGACGCAGTCTGATAATTTATCGTTAGGAAATCCGACACAAGATAGCACGTTTTTACTGTTATGGATTCGACTTTTGGTTGCAATTCAGGAATGATAATGCCAAGGTAGATTTTACCTAACATTCATACCCATGTAACTGGGTGTTCTCTCACTTTGTCATAGTGATCTCATGTCACACAATAGACATCGATCAATATCAGATTGATACCCAGAAATCAAATTCCCAACAGCACGAAAACTAGTGCCAAGTACATTCACTTACTGGTTAGGAACGTCTGGCAATTTACCAGTACTTTGACAATTGATCTGTGTAAATGAACATTATTAATCACTTGAAAAAGATACTGGGGGGAATCTGAAGATTTTGCATTCAAAGCCCTTACTACTTTGATCTGGTGTGGTTATTTTTAGCGTTCAGGTGACACCTTTCATCGATATATTTTTTTTATTTCCTATCTGTTCTTAAAACGTATGGGGTCACATAGCCGACTGCCTAGGATTATTAAAACCCACCAACATGATACAAGCCAGACAGTTCAGCTTTATTTCATGATTAATGTAAAATGACTTCTGTCAAATCATGCATTTTCGATCGGTATAATTTTAAAAAGACTATTTCGTTGACTCTTGATGTCTCGGACAAATATAACTAAATTAAGTTACTTAAACTAATTATAACGGTTCTTGAACACATGGAAATTAATCACTTCACAATATATAAATAATTAAACATTAAATCTGATTTTGTAGGCACCAAGAAGCATCCACTTAGTCCATACACTTACAACCGGGAACCGACTTACCTACAACAAATACGGGACGAATTAGATCGCAGCCAAACAGAAAAGTTTGTCGAAGGTCACAGGTCACCCAATTGGGCAATAGACACTAGCAAAGAGTCGAATCACAGTGGGGAATCCCCCTTGTTCGTCCACGGTCTCCTTAGCGCAAAAAAGGTAAGTGGTGTGGCTGTTAATAAGACCTGTATTTTTTATTTGTTACATTGTGCTGATGTCATATAGAGAAAGTGTGCTCGTTCTTGTATAGAAAATGGACTTTAAAGCCATTGCGCTTGTGTGTCCTTAAGCTTCTGTACTGCTAATTAGTACGCCTAATGTATTCAGTTTTTTAATATTGCAACTGTGTTGAGGCCTAATATAGCTATTATATTCTTGTATTGCTAGTGCATTGACATCCTAAAGTCTAGTGCACTGATGTCTTGTGATTCTAGTGTATCTAAGTCAAGTTTGGCTAGTGCACTCATGCCTTGTATATTCCGAGAGGTAGCAAGGAAAAACGCTATATGTTAACGTTGATCTATCGACAGATTTGACTTTGTACCCCTGTAGTAAAATGTCAATGACTCTGATTGGGTGTTACGTCATTGTAAATCTCCCCGCCACACAAATTCCTGCCAGCGAATGTGATTAGAAATGTATTAGCCAGTAGACCTTTACATACTTATCGTGTAACTAATGAGATTAAGAAATTCACATCTAAATCACCAACATTGACTAGGGCCTATAACTAATTGGTTTAATCGTAAATCAGTTGACAGTTTAAGAATTTATACACATATCCTGAGCTAGAAATATTTCTTAATTCTTATCATTGCACCACAAATTTGTTTAAAGTCAACTTGCTTGAGAATAACGAATTTGAAATACTTGTTCGACATTGCATATTCCTAAATGATCTCAATTCTGGCACCGTAGTGACGGCATACTGACGTCATCGTGAGAATTGACAATGTAAGGATTGATGTGTAAGCCGGTGAATGGCAATGCTAAAACATACTGGTTTTTCATTTCTCTTTACTTTGAATGAAGACGTATAGTAGATTCATATCTCATCGTGATATCCATGAATTACCGAAGTCATACTCAAACGACGTAGTTCTTACAATGACATATATTGATTAGGGACAACTTCTGAAAACTAGAACTGTCATTATATCAGAGAAACTTTCTATCTTAACAATTTCACAGTATTCGGGAAAATAGTCGCTGAGGTTTAATTTCGCCCTCTGATAAAATACATATTTTCGCCCATGGTTAATTTCATGTTTGCTGACGCATCAAATATTGTCCACTTTTCATTTCCGCACTAATTGAAAAGGGATGAAATGGTGAAAATGATACTACAGCGAAAGTTTTCCCGTTTTCGATACTCCATTGATTAGTCTATATAAATTTGTGTACTATATGTATGAGGTTAATCATTATCTGTTTGTAGTACGATCAGCACGGGAAACATCTACATGAGCCTCGAACTAAATCTCTCGTTAGAGGGCGCTCAGCTCCACCAAAGAGAAGTGGAACACTTTACTATCGACCAAACACTACGCACCAGTACCTCTCAGCAACTGAGCTGCACCAAACCTCGCAGTCTTCCGATGCAACGAACCTCAAATATGGCCGACCTACTCGTACAACGTACGGTATCATTTCTAAATGCCCATTTAATGGAATTTTGACGAAATTGATTTTCTAAAAAATCTTAGTATGGTCACGGACATAACTATCTAGATATAATTCTGTAGTATAGGGTAAGCATTCAATACAATTTTAACTGAGTAATATTTGTTACATATATACATGTAAATGTACCAAGACACTTCAATAAAGATATGTTTATACTTAGTTGATAACTAAATTATATTGTCTCTTTTGTATAGGTTATTACGAGCTAGACAAAGGAGCAATTCAGCACCTGTTAATGCATACACACAACGACGGGAAAGTGCCAAAAGTAAGACTTGATAAAAGATATTCTGACGTAACGAAAGATAATCGGCTCCGTTAATTAGGCTTAGTGCAAGATGTATGATTCAAGTGTCGAACACAACATCAGACATGATATCTGGTAGAGGCTACAATGAAAGTAACGTGAACGCAATACGCTCAGCTACCTTGTAAATGTTTCGACATCTTTTTAAATGCTCTGATACATTCTAAATAGACTACCTGTTAATGCCGTTTTTTGTCGTCTTTAACTCTCAGCTATGTACAATACATTTGTCAAGTATGGAGTACAGGATTTTATTTTGTTAAGAAGTATTTTCCTCCAATATTTTCTCTGAACAGTATTATTTATCTTTATTACAGAGATGGAGAGTACTCAATATTCTGCTATACCAACTCCTAGAGAGTAAGTATCTATCCGTCTGGTTTGTTTTCTTCTTTCACTGTGTAAAAGGATTACTACTTATCTTGAGATATAGAACAGTGCTTTGATACAATTAGAGAATCAGATCATTTTCCCATGTAGTTACTGATAATTCACGAGTCCTAGAAGGACGAAACAGCTGTATGATGTTGAATCAATGACGAGCCCTAGTAGGATAAAAACGGCTATATGATGTAGCATTACTGACGAGTCCTAGAAGGACGAAACAGCTGTATGATGTTGAATCAATGACGAGCTCTAGTAGGATAAAAACGGCAGTATGATGTAGCATTACTGACGAGTCCTAAAAGGACGAAACAGAACGGCTAGTAGGATAAAAACGGCTATATGATGTAGCATTACTGACGAGCCTTGAAGGACGAAACGGCTATATGATGTAGCATTACTGACGAGTCCTAGAAGGACGAAACAGCTGTATGATGTAGCATTACTGACAAGTCCTAGAAGGACGAAACAGCTGTATGATGTAGCATTACTGACGAGTCCTAGAAGGACGAAACAGCTGTATGATGTAGCATTACTGACGAGTCCTAGAAGGACGAAACGGCTATATGATGGACGAAACAAACGGCTAGCATTACTGACGAGTCCTAGAAGAACGACAGCTGTAATGTACATTACTGACGAGGAACTATATGATGTAGCATTACTGACGAGTCCTAGAAGGACGAAACGGCTATATGATGTAGCATTACTGACGAGTCCTAAAAGGACGAAACAAACGGCTATATGATGTAGCATTACTGACGAGTCCTTGAAGGATAAAATTGCTGTATAATGCATTTAATTGATTATTTTGTTCACCTGTGCCTTACTCTAATTTATTTTAATATATGCTATTCACCTGTGTGTCTTTTGTACAATGGTAATCAGTATACACCTTTACTAACAGTAAAACCATCGTTTACTTCATCACCTTTTTACCAGTTGTCGAAGAGACATCGACATCTTCGCTGTAATATGCAACGTATAACTAATATCAAAGAAATCGAGATACTAGGACTGCCGATTTAAATCAGTTTTCAAGTTAGTTACAAACGAAAAGGAAGGATCCCTCCCAATTAAGATTTGTGAATATATTCTCGCAATTAGTAACAATTGCTGAGAAGATAATATATATACTGGTAAGAAAAATCAAAACACGTCATCTTAATGAAAAGTGATATTTTGTAAATGTAGTGTTGCAATGTACGAGGAAAGTTTTTAAGAAAGCAGTTGGTAGGGGTTAACTGTTTACTTAAATCTTATGGAACAAATCAGTAACTTGAAACAAGGGCCGAATGATTGTTTTGAATATGTATAAATATTAAAAAAGAACTTCAGTAAAATGGGTGGTAATTCACTTTATTATACATTCATTTGATACAAATGTATTTTCTTACAACTGCAGTTGTATCATCCGTTTGGGTAAGCTATACAAAACAAGACAACATACCTAATTATCACAGGAGACATACTTCACCAGCCTCACCTACATATATATATATATATACTTGCATGATCAATGACAGAAATATTGATTTTTGTCTTGTACAAAGTATAGCATGGTTCTGTGCATTATCTGTTGATGTGTCTTTGGATAGTTTTCTCAAAGATTCACAACACTGTTAATACAATGTATGTTTCTCGTTAAAAAACATAATTGCCCAAACGCGTTTATATTACTTTGCCATTAATATTATTTATTCAGTGTTGTTTTATCTAAATTATAACTTAATCATGTATATAATCATTCGTCATTAATTAAACAAAGATAATAATATTTCAATTAACTTTTTTTTTTGTGTGTTAAGACCAACCAGAATGTTCAATAAATTTCATTATAGTCAGTGTGTGGGCAATTATGTTGGTTGTACAATGTATCCAACATGCATGTTTTTTATTCTTTATCATACGCTGATACAATGTATGTATCTGTGCCACTATTTAATCAGAATTTCCTTGCGTTATCATGATTGATATTTGTCATGTTATCTTGCTGTATGGTAGTATCTATAATGATCTTGTTTTTGTCGTTTCCTGAGCACGCACGCGTGTTATGCTACGTGGTGTTTCTTACCGAAGAGACCGTCATATTGTTCCTTTTATGACAAGGCGACGTTTCAGCTCACTTAAAATGTTTATAATTTCTTACTTGCCATTAAATTGTGTCCACTAAATCCATTTAAGCCTTATTAAAAGGTATTAGGAAATACATAAATACAACAAAGCTTCATGACATGTTCCCTGGATACAAAAATGTCATATAATTGTTATCTGACATAAGTTAACTTTAAGTTTCAATAAAGCACAACGTTTACGTGATATTTAGTAACAAGAACTATATGAATCTGACAAAAAACAACTTCCTCTTAACACAATATTATCAGAATAATTTTCTTGTCACTTTTGATAAGATTCAGAATCGTTTGCTGCCATTTTAACATCGAAAAATGGCTTGTATAATATCATCATAGTATTGTCCATTAGATGTGACGACACATTGGGAGGTTTAATGCTTCACATGCTGACGTCACGTGTTTACACATAGCCAGTGACGTTGTCGTTAAGTGTTATATAACGTGTGGTGGGACACTTCAATTATCCAACCCTAGCCTTTGTTTTGCAGGTTCTTATTAGCAGTTATGGTATAGATATTATTTGATACACTATAAGTAAAAGTGATATGATGCCTTATTAGCAGTGTAACACGTACAGGTTATGGTATAGATATTATTTGATACACTATAAGTAAAAGTGATATGATGCCTTATTAGCAGTGTAACACATACAGGTTATGGTATAGATATTATTTGATACACTATAAGTAAAAGTGATATAATGCCTTATTTCCAGGGCTGATGATTATTCCTCTGATGAGGACAATGATTACATGACTATAATGTATCTCATCGCCGACAGGTGAGGCGAGGGTTCTATTCTCTATCATATTAGTTTATAACTTTTCTTTTTATTTTTTATTTTTCTGTTTCCATATACCGGGGAATTTTCGGAGTATGAATTTTTGAAATGTTTTTGACATAATTACACACTTGTTAGTATAGCAATGAAATTTACTGAAATAAATTTTTATCAGTCAGAGGTTCGTTTGGAATTAAAACATGCAATGCTAAGAAAAAGTGAGAACAATATGAATCCCGATAAGTGGAAAGCCAATTAATTCCATGGACGGTTTTCAAAGTAGAAGGGTGTTTATTTTAAATTTTTATATATCTTTTTTTTTCATTTATTGGTTATGGTTTCTATTCCATGTTATATGTAGTAGTGTATAGATTTTTTTTATCTAAGGATAGATTGGATATTTTCTTTTGTTCCGGAGGGTGACGGTGGATGTACGTTTCCTGCCTGTACATTATATACAAGCTGTAGATTGGGTTTTGCTTGGCTGGTTTTAAGCTCCACTTCTTTATACGATGAAAATATCGTTATTGCATATGAATTTGTTGTAACTAGCTTATGTATTGATGATCAGTATTCAAGTCTGACTTAGCGTTGTTTTATTGTTTAGCTTGTAGGAGCTTCCTCACAAATCTAGATATTGACGTTCTCAACAGTCATCTAATGAAGATGATTATTTATTTACACAACATCTAGATTATAAGTATAATTTGATTATTTCATAACAAAGTATAACGCGATTTGATTATGGAGTGTCCACAAATCGTTATCAAACCTCTTTATTATGTCATGCTATTAGATACATCATCGAAATGTGAGTGATCACATTTTCACTTTGACGTCATCCATATCATAGACAATAGTATATATGATCAAGGAACAATGATTTACCTCTACGTTTAGGTATTTACCTGCCCGCAAAAAAGAGGAGTCTACGCATGCGTTTCTTACTGGGGCCCGCTACAACAGGTATGTGTTATGCGACATTTGGTAATATATTTTGACTTCATATACATCAGTCAGTTATGTCCGTAAATCTTTACCTTTCAAGAAATCTTTTATTAAATAATCTATAAGTAATGTCCGCATACAAGAGAACTCCCATAATTAATCAATCAATCACTCAATTAATCGATCAATTAATCACTTAATACTATAATTTCACATATCTTTATCTTTAGATTATCTACTATTCCCGTAGTTTGATCCGATACTGTAGACCGCAATAAACATAAAGAAAAGGGGATAATCACAAGCATATGTATATTTCATTCGTTCATTCCGTCTTTCATACAACCAGACCCTTCCATATATCATTTGTAATATGGAACGCAAGTGTGAAATATTATCAATCAGCATCATCCTCACAGCACAAATATCAAAAGAGTAATTGTCATTTAATTGCTTTGTCCATGATACCTACAGTAAATCTGCTAACTTGAAATACTAAATGAAATTAAATGCTACAGAACTATGCAAAGGGATTTCAAGCGCTCTGCCAAAAGTCATACCCCATTGTAATAAGACAAGAACAAATTATGATAAAATACATGTAGGTGATGCAAACAATTATTGTTCTATAATAATAAATCCGGTAAGAGAATAATTCTAACGTGTTTACTATGTTATTATGGGTTATTTCAGGGCACATCTTTTAGATGCTAAGGGCCTGACAGTGTATGGTGTTTACATGCCAAGAAAGAACCCGATGGCCTGCTTTATGACAGGGGCTGCTTCTTCACGTCTGAAGGAGAAAGCTGAAGAGGTTCCCCCGCCGCCAGGTTAGTCACAATATAATAACCTAAAATTAATATAAAACGATATCATATTAACAACCGCTGAAGTCCTTTTGTATTTTAAGAATATCTGAGGTATTCTTTTAATGCTTTAGTCTGATCATCGTCTTGTACATTATTTCTCGTTAGCATTTTAAAGGAAGACAAACACGTCTAATTAAGTGACTATATGCGTCTATAAAGCTAGAATAATACAGTTGATGTCTCTCTTTATTTGGTTAAAACATCGCAGATATGTTTATGAGGAAGGTTTACCGTTAGAGTATAGAATCCATTAAGATGTAGCAGAGACATAGCTACATATTTTCGTCTACTTCATACGTTTAAACTTTGTCAGCAGCATAGTAACTTCATGAAAGAAAAAAACAATACACTTCATCATGGGTTTGAATTATTGTTTTCATTAGTTAGAATTTATGATTGTTTCAATAATTGATTTGGAAAATAAGCTGAAATGTTAAATCAAAATGTTATTTTAATAGAGAATATATTTGATTAAAATAAGATTTTTGAAAAGTCGAAAGCATGATGAGTTGACATTTTCCGTTTTATCCGACAGATACACCGCGATCCGAGGTATCAGACTACCATGACCAAACGAGTAAACCGGAGTTCCACCCGAGACCATCGACAGCTCCAGGAAAAAGGTTACTATCAGGCAAAATGGTGACGCCTAGGGATCGCCCCAAAAGCGCGTGGGGTGACGCAGCAACTTCGTGTGATATCATACAGAACGAAAGTGAGAACTTATCCAATGACGAGACGTCTTACAAACAACAGATATTAGATGACATAATACTTACACCTAACGGTTTGAATGTCCAAGGTGACTATGGTGGTTGTGGTAACGGTAGATAGAGATCCCAACCTCTTTACTTTTCTCCATTAGCGCTTTTTTCTTGTTGACTGTCGTGCATTTTGCTAGATTACCTGAAGTGTTTTTGGCTGCTATGTACTGCTGATGTGAATGTAAGAAATGTTTGTTTTTGGGGTTTTGTTTTCGAGTTAACAAAATTACATTCGAAGATAATTCCACATGCAATTAATAGAAAACAGAACTATTTACGGTGCAATTTTTATCCGACCTCGACATTTTACAGCCAATATTTTCCTGACGTGTAATAAAGTTCTTGCTGCAAACAGAAAGACTTCGTGAAATCAAGAGACATGAAAGCACCATCTAAACTATCAGTATCTGTCCAATATGATTATATTGCACTATTGAACCACATTCCGCATTCGTTCACCGATCAACACATATCTATCATCTTATTTTTTTAGTTGAATTCATAAAAGCGGTAACATTTTTCACTTTAAAAGAATTGAACTATCATTGCTGCATATCTATCGAAATGTATTGTATGAATTATGCCTTCATTGAAGACCCAGAGTAATTAGAGAACATCTGAAAGAGACACATTGTATTGAGTATGAACAACATTTACATTGATAGAAATCTTCAGTATAACAGTAGTAACAAGCATGCTGATGACACCTATTGAACCCCTTGCTTACTCACCAAAATGTATAAATTTGGAAACACAAACTCAATGTTTGATATATGATTGAGATGCCGTTGATAACTGGCTTTGGGTTAGTAGTGGAATTAATTAGTTTGAACTTAAGAATAACATTATTTCGTCACAGTCGTTCTGAAATAAAGCACCATTTGGAATTGGTTTTTACATGTTTGAAATGTAATTCAATTATAAAACATATGTTTAAATGAATACCATAACGATAGTTGATATTTTCTGCCTCCCTTATTTTACATCAAACACCACTTAGCAGGATTCTGCCAAATTGTATAGAACGTTTAGGTGAATGCCATTGTATTTTCTTTCGATGATGTCATACTTTGTAATCACATTGCACGCTTTACCTTTGTGGCAGTTTGCTTCGCTTGTTTACATAAATGGCGTAACTTTGTTGTTAAACATCATCGAAAATATGAAATACACGCTGCAGACATGATACAGTAGGTTCCTACATAAATAAGTGTTAAAGCATTTAAATATCACACACCCAGTAACATATTGATAAGAAACATATCCGATTCTCGAAATTCTGTAATTTGCTATGCTTGCTTCTTCTTCTGCATTATTTTTATTTTCATTTATCATTTTAATTCGTTTGTCTTCACTAACTCATTCTAATTTCCGTATATATATATACATAGAAATTATATACTACAATTATCATTTTATAATCAAATATATATTCATACTCTTGCAAATTCATCTTTTGCTTCTTAGTTTGATAATATGCATGTTGTGTTCACATTCATTAAATGATAATTTGTTGCATGTTAAAATATATTCTGTAACTCGAAAGGTCAATTCCGAATCATTTAGTGTTAATAATGTATATCGAACTATTTCAACAACGAAATTATAAAAATGATTGAAAACTATTGCATGTTAACAATAATCTTAATTATTTTAATTTGAAATTAATGCATAATCAATTTCTATAGGTAAATACAACACAGTATACTTATTCTAGTTAATTAAAATTTACTAAACGAAAGCAAAGATGTCATAACATATTTATAACTTGAACACGATAATTTATACGAATATCAGTGTACCGTTGACTAATTTGTTGGTTTATGATTCACAGGCAGCCGAGTCTTGGTTTCTTTACGGTCCAGCAAACAATATTTGAGGACATCCGAATCGACACTCCCCAGCGTCACAGGAATATCCGTCCCAAAAGTCATTTCTAAGCGACCACGTGATCCAGTTGAGGAGACCTCATTGGTTAATCAGCCTCCCCCTACCCCAGTTGGCGGCTTGTCTGTAGTTGAAAGTGAAAGAGTAAGAAAGGCGTCTTTATCAGTAAAGGACTCGTCCATAGGCAGGATGGAAGATTCCACTGGACCAGTGGTTAAAAAACAAATTAATGTAGAACTTATTGATCAGTCTCTAGAATTACAACCAGAAGAGGTATTAGATGTAGAACATCCAGAGGACGATAAACAATCCGATAAAAGTGAGCCTGTTGATTCTACAATAGACCTCAAAAAGGAGGGAAATAACAATATTGTTAACAATTCAAACACTCACATGGACAATGGAAGTGAAATCAAGGTTTTCATGACAGAAAATAATAATACTGAGGGAACTGACGACAAAAACGAAAGTCCGGAAATGATTGAATCTAACAACGATACAGAAAATCTCTCTTCTACCGATCATATTAAAATTGAGATTAGCCATCCCGACGTTGACGAGGGTGAAAAAGGAACCCAAAATAAGAGTATTAATGAAAAAAATGAAGATATTGTCAATCAGGATGGCCCTGTTGTACAGTAGTTAAGTCCAAGTAGGTGTAAAAATGAAATTTAACAGTCTACTTTTTCAAAATCTTAACATCAATCCTCGGAATAAGTAGATCTTACGTGTGGAAAAAAAGTGTTTTTGTCTACTAGGACCAATGGCGATTGTACAATGAAATGGCAACCGAATTTGGTGTATACTTTACTTAGGGAGAGGTTAACTAATTCTTATATCATCGTTTAACTACTAATTTTTAAACAGATCATATGACATAAAGCATTATGAGTTGCATCATATTCAAATACGGCCATGAAAATACGAAAACATGGATTGTGACCCAGGACGACTTTGTTTAATTGTAACAAGGGAGACTACTAGGCCATCAACGAAGTATATTACCTCCCTTCTATTTAACTCGGTAGTAAGATTATGGTAAGGGCTAGATATGTAATAATGAGTTGAAGACGTTACCGCCATCTTAAGACAAGGACAAAAAGAATTGTTGATCTTAACAAATATGCTTGTATACTTTGTACAAATAAAATATGTTTAAATCAAACAAATAAATCGGACGCAATGTATCAACAATACACTTTGTTGGTATGTCGTTGCCCTAGTTCGACACAATGTTCTTACGTTTCATGTTGGTAGAGTATGCTGCTATTTGTATATGGCTATGTGTCAATGAAACAATGCTGATTTAACTCATGGATTAGTATCATATTCTTATGAAATAAATCGCAAAAGAAGTTGTGCTTTCGACAATGTATATTTTTTTAATGAAATTGTGTGTTTAAGCTAAAAAAGAAACTATAGGAAAGTAAGTGTTGCCTACACTAAACTATCTTGTTTAGATATTTCTGAAAACATGTTATAATAATGAAGTAATGTTGACAGAAAGCCAATGTCACTGAAATATTTCATAAACAAATCAGTTTTTAAGAAAAACAATATCAGTTACAATAAGAAACAAACCCCGAAAATTATTGTCTTTTTATGTGTCCATCTACAATCGGAGTTTTTATTCGTATGGTAGAAATGTAGAGAAACCTTGCAACAGACACTCTGTGCTAACAACCATCTTTTTCCCAACTATTTTGTAAGTCAATGATAATAATGAATTATTTCTATATTTTGAGCGTGTCAAAATACCATACTGTATCAACAATCGGTTAAAAATAAGGAACACGCGGCAGCCAGCAACTTTTATTGAAGACTACATGGCACTGTTTGTCTCTTATTCTCGTGAGAATAAGAGACAAGATAAAGCACTTCTTCTTGATCCGTAATCTGGTATCTTTCTCCTACCACAACATGCCATTGAAACTATACCCCTAAATTTCGTGTTAGTAAGATCTATTTGCAGATTGTCGTAAGTAGCATCTTTTAGCAATTAAGCATTAGTGCATTTTAGGAATTCTAGAATTGATGCTGGGGCAATATTTTTCATTGAAATCTAGGTGGCGACGGAGGAATATCGAAATTGTTACAAATGTCAAAATACAGATAACGCTGTGCACTAACCCCATATTCCAACAAATTTAATAAGCTTGATATATACCTGATAATTTCAAAACAACTTCAAGTTCATCTGTATATATTCTGACCGTGCCACTATTTGATTTAATTAAAACGTGACATGAACATAACGACATAAATCACAAACTAAATATATACCGCTTTGCTAGAGATAACTTCTAGAGATGGTTGGGAAATATACTTAAGCGTATTCCCTGAAAAATACATCCAAATCAAAGACGATATGAACGGAAGACGAATTCATAAAACGGATATAGTTTCTGGCTAGTAAGGTCTTCCAACAGACTATTGGCATACTAACTGTGCCCCTCTGTTGACTGGGTTTTTATTCTTATTTTCATTTAAGACTGAACTTATCTAAGAGCTTATCAAACCATGTCACAGGGACCTTGATTGTTTCGTTTTTGTTTGTCGCGCTCTCATTTGGGAACAAGACAGTAATTACTTGGATGGACAAAAAAATTTACATGTCGAGTGTCTTCGATGAAGCTGAAGACGTTTGTTCTTCATGAGCACCTGGTCTTATTCTCCGTATACTTTTTTCAGGGTCTCCGTGTAAACCCTTCTACAGGTTCCAGATTTGAATCCTAGAGAACATATTCAAATAGATAATGACCACCCTTTCCAGAGGAAACTGAAAGTTTGAAGATAAAGCATTACTTTAGTGTGGAATGATATGTGGTAGTGTTAATATCGCATATACTGAAGTGATGATTGAAAAAAAAAACTTTATTTTGAAATTTGGTTTAAAATCATAAATCCATATTGATGATGTAATTATAAAAAGTGCCTTCATTTCTGACCAGTCAGTTAACAACGAGCACTAGCATCGTCTGTTTATAATGTATTCCGTAATCAAGGTTAGTAACTCGATCGGTATAGTTTAAGCATGTATCCTCTGGGTTGGTATAACAAAGACACAACAGCATCAGACAATTGTATATATATAAGGAATACTAATTGTAATGTACAAAAACAACGTATATAAATGGATGAGGGATGTGGACTAATCCAGGCAGTATGGCATCATTCCTAGTATTGTACGTGTGTTGCTCGGTGGTGGATCGCCTGAATTACGGTGTTGACTACTTGGCACTTTCCAGCGCTCCGTGAGGCGTCTGGCGTCATACATACAACGCCCATTTTGTGGCATTTTTACCAGTGCTCAGCGCACGTTGAGCGCCAACGATTCCTCAAACATAAGAAAACATCATTGACTATGTCTCATTTATCTATTTAACGAGTTTTACGTCCATTACAACCGTTGTCCGACGGGAGAGAAATATATAAGCATGGGATATTCAATCGACTAACAAGTGCCATGAATGACTAAACATATTCATGCATACTGCAACAATCGGTAAGGTAACTAAATCACACAAAACATGTACATCACAAAGTGAAATGCTCTCGTGAATTACTTGGTTTTGTCTCCGAATAGACGCACATATCACATGACTTTACAAAAGGGTATTTACCTGTTTTGGATATGACACCATAATCATCTTGATAAAATGACCCAGTGAAGTGCGATTATATCTATATATAAAAGAAGTTAAAAGTAGCTTTCACAGATTACTTTTGTATGTAATTTTTATTTACCGGTTACCGATTTCTACTTGGCTATTGATAGTTTCTGTCTCTTCCAATATTATTGAAGTTATTGACAAAGGTTCCATTTCAGGTATTGTCAAAAGGATTGCTGTAGCTATTGTTTGACAATGTTAAATGCACTTGAAGTGGACCAGCGCGTTATAGGGGATATCCCAAGGGCACATTCAGAATACAAACAAACAAGGAAGTAGATATCATACTAGAAAGTTAAGTCATGTTTTACGTTGATGTTTTAATTTCGTACGTTGGAATCTACCCATCGGTAGTCAACTTGTTGATAGATCTTCGTAAGAGTACTATAACATAGTACCATACAAGATAATTCTGTTACCATCGCTCTTATCAAACTTCATTATATCATTACCCATAACCCTTTGTTATGTTGTATCATGACCTTGGCCAAATGTCTATTACATGAAATGGTACATCAACGTTTGCAAACTGTGTCGAGGTCGAGATTTTGAATGTTTTAATTAATTCTTTATCATCTTATATAGACGCTCGATCGCTCTTAATTATTTTCATCATGTATGAGTTGCTTCCAACCTTCAACCAAGGTCACATTCAAAATATATACATTATTATTTTGTATATCGTTGAAGTTTCAATACAATTGCGTATATAGCTAAACGGATTGTACAAACGACACACAAATAATTGACACCTTTCAATACATTTACGAATACGATACAGGAATCCAGATAATGAGTGATATGGCATCCTACAACTGTTTCATCCGTCTAGGACTTGTATTGATGCTGTATCATACAGCTGTTTCGTCCTTCTAGGATTCATCAGTAATGTTGTATCATACAGCTGTTCCGTCCTTCTAGGACTCGTCATTAATGCTGTATCATACAGCTGTTTCGTCCTTCTAGGACTCATCAGTAATGCTGTATCATACAGCTGTTTCGTCCTTCTAGGACTCATCAGTAATGTTGTATCATACAGCTGTTTCGTCCTTCTAGGACTCATCAGTAATGCTGTATCATACAGTTGTTTCGTCCTTCTAGGACTCATCAGTAATGCTGTATCATACAGCTGTTTCGCCCTTCTAGGACTCATCAGTAATGCTGTATCATACAGCTGTTTCGTCCTTCTAGGACTCATCAGAAATGTTGTATCATACAGCTGTTTCGTCTTTCTAGGAATCGAAAGTGATAATGCATCATCCATCTGTTTCCCCTTCCTGGACTCATCAAGCATGTTACATCATACAGCTGCTTCGTCCTTCTAGGACGCGTCAGTGGTGTTACACCGTACATCTGGTTTGTTCTCCTAGGACTCGTCGGTGGAGCGAGTGAGTGTGAAATTGGTCGAAATAAAAGTAAAATGCCACAAGTATAGAAGCATCCACGCGAAAATTGTTATTATTATTTATTTATTTATTTATTTATTTTTTTTTTTTTGGTAATTTTTGCAATATTTTGATATTGAGTTATTTCACAAGCAGGATACTTGTTTATTCTTGACCGTGACAATAAGTGAGATGGAATCTGAATAAAGATTCAAAATGGCTTATTGAATCATTTCTATGCTATCAACACTATAACACATCTTAGAGTCACCAACAAACGCTTGTGCTAACCAAGACACAGATCTTGTCAAACATGTCAGGATTGGACAGGTTTCAACACGGTGAATACCATGTTATACAGGATCTGGGTATTTAACTAGGATTTATTATTCAAACTTAAAGTCGTTATATTAGAAATATATTTATTGTTGTGATAATTACGCCTGTATGAAGACTGTCTAGACAACAGTGACCTCAATATGTTTTAATTGAAGCAAATGAAGGTATTGGTTTCGTATAATGTTTATTTATCAATTATGTGCACTTTGTTCATATCTGATTTTCTTATTAGCAGCACTGAAAATACCGACATGTCAACATGATTTTGATTCAAATTCAAAATCGACAAAACGTGGACAAAAAATGAACAAACGAAAGATTTACAACAGTACCCCAGAACGTGATTCCTTACTGTTCGATAATTTTAACTAAAATACATAACACGTAGAAATGTTACGACAAAGAAGGGCCTGTTCATGGGATAGATAATGTCATCAATTATTTTTTTTACCTATCGCGGTTTTTTGTTTCGGTATCAATTACAATACATTTATGAACGATTTAATCTCTATATAAAGGCCACCGTCCTGTTAAGTGGCCTTTATAAACAGTGTTAAATATTTTTATGACACTCGCTGTACAGTTACATAATTTTCTGGTCGATGATAGGATTCGAAGATACCTGTATTAAAATGTTTGGGTTCGTATACTTTATTATCCAATCGCTAACTGCTGTTTGTGCAGCGATAGTGACGTGTATATTATCCATTTAAGAAATAATGGAAGGGGTACCCATGTGTGTGATTATGACGAGATAAGTTATATCTAACAGCTGTATGGGTCTGTTTAATTCTGAATATGATTTCGCTTTAAATATAAAAATGCATTGAAGTGTTTAACACCCGGCACCTAACCATATTGAAAGAGGTTATTTACTTACGTCAATTAGGGTGCGCCCAGTTCAGTACAGAAGGCAAGTGGACCAGGAAGTGTTGAACAAAATAATTGGTTATTGAGGAAGGTTTTTATCTTTTCACCACACATACTTCTAAATAAGATTTTGTATTGAATATAAAGATATTAATAAAAAAAAAAAGCTGGTAAAACCAGAATTAACTGTTCATAACATTGTGCATTTCAAGCAACTGCTATCCAGACAGGAGAATTAATAGCTGAAAGTTATAAGGATCTTGTGACTTTGAGAGTATTCCTTATTGTACATTTTATCACAGATTGCAGAAGTATGAACATGCCATTGGATGACTTGGGTAATCCGGTAAGTTTATGTAATCCAGTTTCTAACAGTCTTAACCAACGCCTTATAAACTACACATGAATCCAGGAAGTAGGCGTGTGTTTTTTAATTGCTATGTATTGTAATGACTTTCATAAAATGTATTACAAACCTTTAAAATAAAATGTTTTCTGTCAGATATTTGTTTTCAACATAAGTTTCCTATACCGACTAATAGTTAATAGATAATAACGTTGTTAGTGGTAATAACCATAATACCAGGAACGGCAACGCATTTTGTAATTTACACTCTACTTCATTCATGATGCACAGACAGTTGTGTAGGTATAATATAGTCACATTTCTCATACACAACTGACAAACATCAGACAGAACAGATCGGCACATGGCCACATTTTTCATACACAAGTGACAAACATCAGACAGAACAGATTGGCATATGGCCACATTTTTCATATACAAGTGACAAACATCAGACAGAAACAGACATATGGCCACATTTTTCATACACAAGTGACAAACATCAGACAGAACAGATTGGCATATGGCCACATTTTTCATACACAAGTGACAAACATGAGATAGAACAGATAGACATATGGCCACATTTTTCATACACAAGTGACAAACATCTGACAGAACAGATAGACATATGGCCACATTTTTCATACACAAGTGACAAACATCAGACAGAACAGATTGGCATATGGTCACATTTGTCATACACAAGTGACAAACATCAGACGGAACACAGGCATATGGCTACATTTTGCATACACAAGTGACAAACATCAGACAGAACAGATCGGCACATGGCCACATTTTTCATACACAAGTGACAAACATTAGACAGAACAGATAGGCAAGTGACAAACATAGGCATATACACTAGACAAACATGACAAGTGACAAACATTAGACAGAACAGATAGGCACATGGCCACATTTTCATACACAAGTGACAAACATCAGACAGAACAGATAGGCATATACACTAGTCACAAACATGAAACGGAACAGATTGGTATACAGCCACATTTTCATACACAAGTGACAAACATCAGACAGAACAGATAGGTATATGGCCATATTTTCATACACAAGTGACAAACATCAGACAGAACAGATAGGTATATACACTAGTGACAAACATGAAACGGAACAGATTGGTATATGGCCACATTTTTCATACACAAGTGACAATCATCAGACAGAACAGATAGGTATATGGCCACATTTTTCATACACAAGTGACAAACATCAGACAGAACAGATAGGCACATGGCCACATTTTTCATACACAAGTGACAAACATCAGACAGAACAGATAGGCATATACACTAGAGACAAACATGAAACGGAACATATTGATATATGGCCACATTTTTCATACACAAGTGACAAACATCAGACAGAACATATTGATATATGGCCACATTTTTCATACACAAGTGACAAACATCAGACAGAACAGATAGGTATATGGCCACATTTTTACACAAGTGGCCACATTTTTCATTTTTCACACAAGTGACAAACATCAGACAGAACAGATAGGTATATGGCCACACATTTTTTTTCATACACAAGTGACAAACATCAGACAGAACAGATAGGCATATACACTAGAGACCACATTTTCATACACAAGTGACAAACATCAGACAGAACAGATAGGCATATACACTAGAGACAAACATGAAACGGAACATATTGATATATGGCCACATTTTTCATACACAAGTGACAAACATCAGACAGAACAGATAGACATATGGCCACATTTCTCATACACAAGTGACAAACTTCAGACAGAACAGATAGGCGTATGGCCGCATTTTTCATACATAAGTGACAATCATCAGACAGAACAGATAGACATATGGCCACATTTTTCATACACAAGTGACAAACATCAGACAGAACAGATAGGCATATACACTAGTCACAAACATGAAACGGAACAGATTGGTATACAGCCACATTTCTCATACACAAGCGACAAACATCAGACCGGACAGATAGGTATATGGCCACATTTTTCATACACAAGTGACAAACATCAGACAGAACAGATAGGCACATGGCCACATTTTCATACACAAGTGACAAACATCAGACAGAACAGATAGGCATATACACTAGTCACAAACATGAAACGGAACAGATTGGTATACAGCCACATTTCTCATACACAAGTGACAAACTTCAGACGGGACAGATAGGCGTATGGCCGCATTTTTCATACACAAGTGACAAACATCAGACAAAACACAGGCATATGGCCACATTTTTCATACACAAGTGACAAACATCAGACAGAACAGATAGGCATATACACTAGTGACAAACATGAAACGGAACATATTGGTATATGGCCACATTTTTCATACACAAGTGACAAACTTCAGACAGAACAGATAGGCGTATGGCCGCATTTTTCATACACAAGTGACAAACATCAGACAGAACAGATAGGTATATGGCCACATTTTTCATACACAAGTGACAAACATCAGACAGAACAGATAGGCATATACACTAGTGACAAACATGAAACGGAACATATTGGTATATGGCCACATTTTTCATACACAAGTGACAAACATCAGACAGAACAGATAGGCATATACACTAGTCACAAACATGAAACGGAACAGATTGGTATACAGCCACATTTCTCATACACAAGCGACAAACATCAGACCGGACAGATAGGTGTATGGCCGCATTTTTCATACACAATTGACAATCATGAGACAGAACAGATAGGTATATGGCCACATTTCTATACACAAGTGACAAACATAAGACATAACAGATAGGTATATACACTAGTGACAAACATGAAACGGAACAGATTGGTATATGGCCACATTTTTCATACACAAGTGACAAACATGAGACAGAACAGATAGACATATGGCCACATTTCTCATACACAAGTGACAAACTTCAGACGGGACAGATAGGCGTATGGCCGCATTTTTCATACACAAGTGACAATCATCAGACAGAACAGATAGGCACATGGCCACATTTTCATACACAAGTGGCAAATATCAGACAGAACAGATAGGTATATGGCCACATTTCTCATACACTAGTGACAAACATGAAACGGAACATATTGGTATATGGCCACATTTTCATACACAAGTGACAAACATCAGACAGAACAGATAGGTATATGACCACATTTTCATACACAAGTGACAAGCATCAGACAGAACAGATAGGTATATGACCACATTTTCATACACAAGTGACAAACATCAGACAGAACAGATAGGCACATGGCCACATTTTCATACACAAGTGACAAGCATCAGACAGAACAGATAGGTATATGACCACATTTTCATACACAAGTGACAAACATCAGACAGAACAGATAGGCACATGGCCACATTTTCATACACAAGTGACAAGCATCAGACAGAACAGATAGGTATATGACCACATTTCTCATATACTAGTGACAAACAGTTCTGTTAACTTCCATGTTCGCGTCGGTCGGTTGGACTTGAAGCTCTTACCATTGTTAGCCAAATAATGATTTCAATGGTCAATAAGTAATTCTAAACCCTTTCGCTCATTCAGAAATAATACATGGCAATTTGCAATGATTATTTAGATACGATTGTAATCATTTAGAATTCCAACAAGTAAAAGAGATAGAAAAAATATAAACTATTACTAACAACAAGAAGATAAAACTCTTTTCGCTGCTGATATAGAAGTTTCTGTCGTGTCCTTGTTTGATCAAGACGTAGTGTAGGTGTGACTGCTTGATGAAGACATATTTGTGTGTTTTCCTGTTTGATTAAGACATATTTGTAGGTTTATCTGTCAAAGAGTTGTGTATAAAATGAATTTTTCTTACATACTCATAGGATTTGCGAAGTATTTGCAACGATTTAAAGCTCAAGAGAAATAGTTTGAGGGGTATCTATATATGTGTGTGTGTCATAAATACTATTAACTGGTTTCAATGACAAGTTGAAATATATTTTATTGTTTTATGAATACTTGAATGCTGCCGAGGGCATATGTTAATTCGTTAGTTGATTGAGACATATATACATGTCTGACTCTCAATATTGCTATTTGGTTACAGGTATATCATTATTATGATAACAACAGTGGTGTGTCACGGAATCACTCCAACCACTACACTTATCACTTGCCACATCAAGACTCTGATCCCACTTACATCTCTGCAACGGACTCTAGTTCGAGAATAGTAAGTGTTTATTTGATCAGTTCAATAACTAAAACTTTGATCATATCTTAATTATTTATGTTCTATTATTAATCTGATGATCTCATTGAAGTTAATGATAAAATGTTTCTGAATCCTTATGATAAAGGTTTCTTTTGTTAGATAATCACTGCTCCTGTAGGTATTTTAAACATTTTGTTTTCTCGTACTCCGAATTCTGACGAGTAATGCTCAATCCATATTTTTTTCTTTCAGTATAGTACCATCAATTCTCGACATTTTGTAAGTATATCCTGCTTTGATACCTTTAATCATTATCAATTAAACCATATTGTTTCTTGGTTGATTGTGATAAACATCAATGGCCACAGTAGCGGACTGGTTAAGGTCTCTTACCGTCTTTGTCACTATCCCTACAACTTTGGGTCGTGGGACCGTGGCCTACGTGAGGTACTTGCGAGGCACTTGCTATAGGTCGGTGATTTTTCTCCGGAATGTTATGTAGATTAAAAAAAAAGATTATAATCACGGTTCATTTTCATAAAATACCCATATATTATCTGTATTTTTCTTTCAGAGTAATATAACAGATGTCGGCTATTCGGTAAGTTTACTCTGCGTTGGCACCAAAGACATTGAATATCATGCTCATACCGCAATATTAAATAAAGTATACAAGCATCTAATAAATGTGCTTTTACTTAAATAAGGTCGATAATACTTATATCGCTAGAGTTCTCTCCCCTCGTACTTAAAATACAAAGAGTAGTATCCTGACTAGAGAATAAGAAGTGTTTGTTTGTTTTCCATTCCCTTGTGAGACTTCTAAACAGCGGCTTATAGCTGAAATGTAAGTACCAACGAAGAAAATTTCCAAAAGTTTCGTTGTTTTGATAGCGTTACAGGGTATGTTATCGCTTTGTTGTAGTGATAGAACCTAAACTAAGCTGTGCTTCTTAGCTGATGTTATATGGTTTTTAAAAGTTCTATCCATATTAAGTACAGTCATAACATAATACATCTGGTCACAAAAAAATAACTGGAGTACATTATAATTTATAATTTGTTACTCTAATTGTTCACAAATTGGCTTGCGTTTTTTCTTGCATAATTTTACTCTTAATGTTTGATCTACAGGATGACAGTTCAGCTTATTTTATTACTCAAGGTATTCCACCAACGGTAAGTACAAGCCTTGAGACACCCTTTTATTATTTTTATGATAATTTAGGGAACAATTGAATGAATAGAAAAATAGGATCAACAGAAAAGAAACAGGACGGATAAAAAGGTAAACGGATTCTAAGTTGTACTGTCATTATATGTCCAATGCTAGGGACGGTTACAAATCAGTAAGTGTTAAAAGTGGCGGCTTGCGGGATGTGTTGGAATCATTCTTTCTTGGTTTCTGTCTGTGGACCTGCAGAGAAGATCAGTAACATCCTTATATAGGATATTGCTGATTATGTTCATGTCTACAAGTTATAATGGAACTTTCAATTTATACATAAAACCGTCAAATTTAAAACACCTTTTCCTGGACAAGTTAGTGATGCTGTTTTTTCGACTACAAATAAAAATCATAATATTTAAATATTTAGAAAGAGACGAAAAAGTTCAAGTGAAAAGGACCTCTTATTCAACTTTAGGGAGAGGGTGGGGGGAGAGAGAGGAACATTCTCACAATTATATTCAGAATGGAAAGTTATAATGATATATCTTATACTATATATTATAATTATCATTAATTTCCATGTTGGTTCCGTTGTTGTATACCTTGTTCTCATTTGAGGGCATGGCATTACTTACTTGGAGGGACCAAGATTTACATAGCGGATGTCGTCGATGAGTCACACAACGCTTACTCTTCTGAAACGCCTTATTCTTCTTGTACATTTTCAGAAGTCTCTTTGCAAATCTTTCTTTTGCAAACATTTTCTTTATTGAATTTTGGGTTTGGTTATGATTAAGTTGGCATGTTGGTTTCTTGTTTTTCCTTGAGATTTGATAACATGGCCAAGATAAAATATCTCATTATCAAATTAGTAGAAAATGTGTTAATTTTCATGTGACTTGAACCCCAAACAGTACCCATTAAAATGAAAATAAGATAAGGTATTCGGAAGAGTAAGCGTCTTCTGTTTCATCGACAACACCGGCCATAACGCATGAACTTGACATTCATAACAGTAGAGTAACATGTCTTCAACACTTGCTATTTGCAGTCTGGTAGGGATCAAGATTTGGAATTACCAATTGTAAGTACAATAAACGTCTCGGTGTAAATAAATAAACAATACACAGTTACAACACCACTGATTATTGAATGCGAGTTGAATACACTATACAAATTAGAAACTTGTTTTGGCAACTGCAAGAAACAGTAATTGAAACACATAATACCTTATAGCGAAATCGTCACGTATTTGGTATAGTAGACTAAAATAAATACTTAAAGTTCACAAAGGACTGTATAGGTCGGAATCGACAATTTCAATATCATCCTGAAAATTGAAGATCATTATCAAAATTCAACTTATTTTGATCCTTATGGCATTTAAGCCAATGAAAAAAATATTTACATTCATACCAACTATTGGAAATGAATTGAATTACGTATGACGGCATATTATTTTTCAGAGAACGTCCTGGCACAAACGACTCGTGATATGTTGCTTATCAGTACTGTTTTTGGTATTGCTAGCACCTGCACTCTTGCCATTGATTTTTACGCTATTGACATCAGGTATCCATATCCATTCATTATTTATGGCATAATTACTTTATTATTCATCATGATGCAATGTTTGAGAAAATATTGATGTGAATTCATGAATAGAATAACTAATTCTCTTTTATGTAAACAAGTGTAAAAAACAAGAAAATCCTAACATGTCAACACAATCAATGATTATGATAAAAACGAGATTTACACGGAGGCTCCTGAAAAAAAAAACAAGAAGATTAACGCCATGTGATCCAGAAAGGTAAGATTTCTGCTTTATCGACAACCACCATGTAAATCTTGATCAATCCAAGTAAGTAAATCATGTTCTGAAATGAGAACAAATTATACAACAACGGTAACAACAGGCCAATCGGAACATGAAGCAGATTTTGCATTGTAAATGTATGACCTAAAATCAAGCTGACGAATTTCATAGCCTGAATTAAGGTGATAGCTTTCAGTTTAAGCAAACATCGCATGCCAAAAGAACATACGAGTATAACTGAAATCATCCTTTGTCAGGAACACAGGTAGGGAATCCTCCAATCAACGGAATCTGGACTGACTGGCAGACATGGAGTACCTGTTCTGTTACATGTGGAAATGGGTCCATCACACGCAGCAGAAACTGTGACAATCCTCCTCCCTCATTTGGTGGAAATGACTGCGAAGGATCAGCATCAGACACACAGAACTGTACGCTTACCCACTGCCCTGTGAATGGAAATTGGAGTGAATGGCTTCCCTGGAGTTCTTGCTCTACTTCTTGTGACGATGGCATCATAACCCGCAATAGAACGTGTGATAATCCGTTACCGGCGTTTGGTGGCGAGGTATGTGAAGGTAACGATACTGACTACGAAGTATGTATACTAAAACACTGTCCTATACACGGTAACTGGAGTTCCTGGCAGAATTGGAGTTCCTGTTCTGCAACCTGTGGTGGAGGTGAGAGAAGTCGCTCAAGAGAGTGTAATGATCCTCGTCCACAATATAGTGGCGAGGACTGTGTTGGACCTGTCTCTGAAACATCAACCTGCGGCGATGTTTCCTGTCCCCCACCTGGTACCTGGGGCATCTGGTCTGAGTGGACTGACTGTTCTGCAACTTGTGGCGAAGGTATGTCGAACAGAGCGAGGGATTGTGACAACTCTGCTGGCGGAGAATGTGTTGGAGCCGAAACGGAAACAAAAGTTTGCCAAAAATGGAAGTGTTACGACAGCTGGGGAGACTGGAGTGAATGCAGCTTCTCTTGTGGGACTGGAATCCGGACAAGGAACAGGACATGTGACGGACTATTTACTGGACAGATGTGCGGATGGAACACGCCGACGTTCAGGGACGTTAAGGCCTGTAGCAACACAGGCAACTCTTGTGATGTTTGTAGGTATCGTAATACAGATCAAATGAAATGTATTATCAAATATCGAATACGTATTTACTAAACTAATCATCAATATATAAATGTTATTTTGTATTTAATTTTTCATCCTAGTTTGTTTTTCGATTTGTCTGAATTTGATTACCTTATCATAATTTGGAAACTTGCTTAATTAGAATATCATTGTTTTTATCATTATTTCAGCTTTTTGCTCCAACAGAACTGCAGAGTGTTCTTACAAACATCCAAACAGGTGTGATATGTACATCACATGTGACGCTGGTCAAGCCATGCTCGAGCGGGTGTGTAATGTACTGCTGAGATACAAGGTTATGGAGTCAAATGAATGTACGGGACATTGCGATTTTGAAGCAAATGTTCCATGTCCGTAACTGTAACCATTACCAGTTTGAATACGGTGCATTGCGCTAGTATTCAGCTTCTGACCTTATGTAACCAGGCCCAACTTGTATAAAACATCTCAGCTTGAGATTTCCTCAAGCCCAGATTTTCCTCAGCTAATATCTCCTTGGAAATATCTTGTATGAAAATTCCTCAAGTAATTTCAGGACATCCTAGCCGATGCCTTCCTCCTGTTCCTTGAGAAAATTTTATACAAGCCGTTTTTGAGGAGATATCAGCTGAGGAAAATCTCGACTTGAGGAAATCTGTGGGGCCAGGACTTTTAATTTTATCAGGAAAGTATAACTCTCTGTGGTAAAGGATTTTTTTATGATAATTAATGATTAACTGTCAACTCTGGCGTAGGTATCCTTTCTCTTCCCATGGAAAGTAAAAATCCTGAGAACAGACCACATATCTCTCAATTTTGTCCTAAGCACTTTGAGCTCTGAGGTATAATTTCGACACTGTGTATATGTATTGTAATAGAATACAAAATAGTAATATGTTAAAACATATATACAATATACTTTATAATAATAATAAGAAGAAGCACTGTAACGACACATAAACATAAATATAGTGTATATAGATTTGTACATATTTGTTCAGAGAGAACTGTATAATGTGACTAGATGGATGGATGAAAAGTTATTTATATTTTTTTCTTTAGAATAATAATAGACATTTCTCTTTCACTTACATTGAAATGTATTCCATACTTTAACCTTCTTCTTACTTTTGAGATTATATACGGTATCTACTTTCTTGCCAAAAACATTCTGTGATGTAAATAAGATATTGTTACAGATTTGTCAATTAAACATAATTGAACAATGTGATACTTAAACATTATTGAATACTGTAATACCTATGTATCAAAACTTTTATCTTTAAGCAGAACATTTTCATTAAGAATTTTCAGGTGTTTTAAGGAAAAATAAAAATCATTTTTATAATTTAATCACTGATTGTAATATCTCTGACATTATTTGTGATGTAAAAAACATACCAAGTGTTTCGGAAGACTTAATAGACGACAGCCAACAATAACACTTTTTCGGGTGGTGGGCACTGCTGGTGGACTGTTAGTCCCCGAGGTTTGACGTAACCTGTATGACACGTTTTAATATACTCGGTCATTGGCACGGCTCAGAATATACGTATACAATTGACGTTGTTATGAAATAATCAGATGTATGAAAACTACAAAATGTGTTGATTGATGTGGCTAGAGACCCATGTTCCTACTCTTGATTCATGACTTACCTTTCGATCACTCTGGAGTTTCCTTAGTCGCATCCTAGACTTAAAAAAAATATCCCTAAGCAACACTGACGAGTCCTGGAAGAACGATACAGCTGTATGCTACAGTTCAGCCCATTGTTTGGTTCTACTGTATCTAAATCTAAAGCAATATTAAAAGATGCTATATACTTATATGACTTGTGAACCATTTTCTTTGATAACTTCACCACATTGCCCAATCAAACATGACATTACAAAATGATCGTATATTGTTTATTGATTGTAAGTTGTTCGTATTTATGGTCAATTGTATGTTTGGAGCAATTTCAGGCATCCGCAAACTATAACCAAAGCTTAACTAATTTACATGTTTCTCAGAATAATTCAAATGTATATTCACATGTCTTCATTAAAGTTTTATTGTCTATGCCTTGTCAGTTCTTTAATGCTTTAAAGGGAGATTTGCTTTGATCGAAAGAGTTTTCAAAGTTTAAATATCATTTTTGTTTGTTTTTGTTGAAATTGTAGACTTTTTATTTGCCTATTAAGAATTTCATTGGTGTTTCTATGTTGATACTTTTTTTCGGTATTTCAAACTTCAATATTTCGAATTTCTCGGACTTTAGTGCTTTGATTCAATCATTTAAATGGTTAACGATAATGCTGGAATACAGTAATCATTATTACCCAAGCTTGTGTCGTTTCGTTATAAAACGGTAAATCCGTAAAATGTAAAAACGTGTTGCAGTTAACCTCGTGTTAACACCGTGTGAGATTTAAAACATCTAATCGTATGTATTCTTTTATTGTTTGTTGCTATTACTAATTAAATATTAAAGCTGTATATCCCCTCATGTGCTTGTGGTGCACCACTTGAAACTGTACAACATTATTTCTTTGAATGTCCAAGATATGTAACTTACCGTCAAGATTTGTATCATTCTCTATATCAACATGATCATCCTCATTATGAATTAGATTTTATTCTTAACGGCTGCCAAGATTGTGATATTAATGTTAATAAATCAATATTAGCCTCTGTAATTAGCTATATTATTGGCACACAAAGATTTTGCAAGTTATAAAAGTTTTTAAAATTATAAATTATGAATATGAATTTGTATACTTGGTTAGATATTGAAGAATTCTGATATTCTAGTTATCATTTATTCCTAAAATAGGGATATAACTCTCTAATGTTAAAGCAGAAAATCCTCTATATTTTGGAAAAAAATAATTCTATTCTACAGTAATGCACGTTCAGGTATACTTGCTTCTCCATTAGATAGGATGAGGGTCAACTTTATTACTATGGACACTCATGGCCCAATATTCCTGTCAGTATGGAGGAGCAAGTGTACCGTAAGTGTATTGATTCAGTTAAAATATTTCTAAATTTTACAGATCAGATTATTTTGTATTTTGAATTATATACCAAATTAAGTAAGAGTTATCTCCCTTCTAAGGTTTCTCTGTGTATTTATCTGTATGTGTGTGTGATGGTGTGTATGGGAGAGAGGGTGTGTGTGTGCGTGTGAGGGTGTGTGTTTATATGTATGTCTATATGTGTGTTTGTATGTATGTATCCACTGTAAGTTACTGTATGCTATACATGTACATGTAAGTATGTAGGTTTGTGAGTGTGAAAGAGAGGGAGTATGTATGTGTGTTTGAATCTGATCAGTGTAACTGTAATTGACCACCTGTGTTGTCCCAGGAGAAGACTTATATAGGCACTAGCCTGCTGTCTAATCCTATTAATACTTTGTATTCATAAAATGTTTTGAAATGAAATGAAATATCTGTCTTTGTTCAGTTTGTCAAGGTAGTTAAATCAATCGTTCAAATGAAAGGAGTGTTATCTTCATGATCAGCCGTAATCCTGTTACGTCTGACCACGAAGGTAATGGACGTCCACACACTGCAGCTTCTCGGACCATGGAAATCAATGAAAGGGATGAAGAATAAATTTCGCAACTAAAAAGGGATCATATCAAACAATATCTTGTAGAGAAATATATGATCGGTACACTAAATAATAATTCAAATACATATATCTCAAACATCGGTAAAGGACATGGATTTTGTACATGTATCTGTAACGCGTAATGCACATATACACCGGAGTAAAATTTTCATTCTATAAAATTTAAATCAATATTCACATATCGAAGTCCCGCTATATCGAACTTTTTGACTTGGTCCCTTGAAGTTCGAAATACTGTAGATGGTATTTATAGTTTTCTTTTAATACCTTTCAATCGTGAGATTTACATATCTGTCATTTGATCATGCTTTTACAGGAAACCATAAAACTTTCAACAGAAAAAAAAACAACTAAACACCGATCTTAACAAAATAAACTGTCTCTAAAACAGTTCCGGATCGTTAAACTTTACAACACGACAACGCCACTTTGATTTTTGCTTACACGTGGCAAGAACTGTTTTAGGCACTAGATTAGAGAACACATCGATTTGATTGGTTCAACCTAAACAAGTAATGGTATCAGCAAAAATGTTAAATGATCGCTATAAGATTTCACAGGAGAATTTTTCAAATTGATAAATTTCGGTATTTCACTGACAGAATTGTAATATATAATATATATACACTAGCGTCAACAGTTGTTGACAGATTTACCAAGTATATCGTAAAAAAATATTGCAGCAGATTTCAAATTGTCGTTTTATCGTTGAACATTTTGAGGAGTCTCTGTGCAAATCCTTTTTTTTTTGTTCATATTTTGTCTTAGCTTAATTGACTTTGAGTTTGGATTTTTATTATGTTGACATGTTCGTATCAATCTGTTTTTTTTTTTTCTGTTCTCGTCTTTCTTTGGGTATAGATTTGTTGTCCTCATTTTTTTTCTTTTTTGAAGATAAGAAACATCTAGTTTTATATCAGTTGAATACTGTTTACAATGTAATAATATTACCATTGATATACATTAACTCCCCTCAATATTACGACGTTAAAGCAGATAAAGTCTTCGGGTATTGACAAACCAATAGTCTATCAACCCTTGCATGTTAATGCATATACGATAACAGAAAAAAACAGCTATCCCGGTGTGTAAGTAGATTAGCCGCTACATGAGTAACTAGAACGAACATGTAGCATCTGATGTCAAGACGAAATCCGGGAATTTTCAGACAAGATTGCATCCATGTTCCAAGAGTATAGGAAAACAATGTGAAGTGTGACAACACATCAGTTTCTGAAGTTTGACTTCGTGGTCAAGACGGTAAAGAAAGTGTATGAAATGGCGTTAGGATTTTTGGTATAGTTTTCCGGGTCTAGATCAAATCTACCTTTGGATATGAAAGAGCTCCAAATGACCTACTTGTCTGTGCTATCTTTGTGACAGCTAATTTGAAACCTACGTTAAGTAATTGACGACAAAATGATATTGCTCTGGTAAACCTGAATATGAAGAAAGATAAACCAAACAAATATGATGTTGTGTCATTTATCTCAGTGGTAAAATTAACATCGTGATGTGTCATATAGCTTTATTAAATAAATGAAATATAGTACTTAAACGTAGCAGTGTTCGAAATAATTTCATCTTAAAATGGACCATGATTTCTGATAATTGGATAATATTTCGGCCATATGCATTAATGAAAGTATTCATATTATGAATAGGAAAACATCAGCTTATTTCCGAAATAAAATTCAGTGATATACGGATTTGTACTGTAACATAAATACATATACAATGACAGCAATACAAAACAATACGACACAGACGATAACGTAAACGACTCATGTTTTCTAAAGTTAAAAAAAACCGCATGAACAATTTGTGTGTTTTCCATAACAAATCATGCTTAACGGGAGACTCGTTTAACAAATAAACTTGTGTGTTATTATCAGGTAATAATGTTCTCGCAGTTAAATGATTACAACACACATAATATCCTATTTTTGAACTAAAATTATTATATTAGTTTGATCTACCTGTGCCTTAACTTATTGGTATGTTTGAACTGCTATCAATTCTGTCTAGAAACGCCGAAAATGACACACTGACTACGAGGTTATCTGAGCTTAGACGCTTACGTTGGCAGAAAGCTATATCATATCTAGTAAACATGTTGGCTTTTTGTAAAAAGAGATGCCTGAGAGAGGTCTTTACAGGGAAAGGGAAATGTTTTCCCTCTGGATGAAATATAAAGATTAAAGTTGGATGAAGAGGTTCATATTGAATTAAATGGAATTTAAAAGTCTGCGCTCAATGTGATACAGCTAGGGCACAACGGAGAATAAGATACAATCATTTACCACATAATCATCTTAGAACTACTTCTAAGTGTAAGTAGCTGTGAACCGTGTCAGTCAAAATGAAGGATGCATTTGGAAATATATTGGTACCCAATACTGTTGATATGAGTATAATTTGTCGTTTTTGCAGGCCCATAAGAAATATGTCCCTCTTACGGAGTGTAGTTTTAGTGTTTTGTCAACATCGTCAAAAGTTACTGGAGTCGAATATGGACAGGAAGAGGGATGCATCGTCATGGTTGTGGAGGGAAGCAATCAGCGCACATTCCCTGTCACCTTGAAACGGAATATATTTGTTTTTAATATGGTTACAATCATACTTATTTGTTTTTATCACTTTTATTTGAAATTTTGTCGTCTACTGTTTATAAAGAACTAAATGCCACGGGAACAACTATGTTAATAAATCAACAAGAAAAAGAGCAACATCTCAACATAATTATAATCCAATAGAGAGAACAAAATAGTTACACGGAAAATCCTGAAGAAAAAGAATAAAGAGAATAAGACCACTTGTTCCGGAAAAGTAAGCGTCGTCTGCTCCACCGACGATGTAAATCATGGTCAATCCGAGTAAGTAATGTAACGTACTCAAATGAGAACAAGGTATACAAAATCGGAACCAATAGGCAAACTAACGAGCATCATATCGTATAAAGAAAACAAAATATTTCTCAATAAGATCACCAGGACGGCCGTAAAACCCCATAATGTTCATCAACCTTCATCTTTTGATCAACCGTGCTACGAGTTTGTCCGTCAATTGATGACTTCTTGACCCAAATTCATGATAATGGAACAGGTACTTGCTAGCTTATCGAATCAACTGCGACATGTAAACATTATAGGTTAGGGACACAAGCTTGCTGCTTTCCAGAAATGGAAAATTCACAATAGGGAAATTGAAAATCATCATGCTTATTATGTAGCTTGTGGAGAGTCGTCCATGTTGGTTTCGTGGTAAGATAAGATCGGCTAGTTGGTATATATGATTGAAGTGGTCAACAAATTTCTTCATTTACAGACCAAGTATTAAACCACTGTGTATGTGCTACAGTTACCACCGACATTGTCATTGTGTACATACTGTGGTTGTAGTAAACAAATTGAGGCATCTTACGATTTGTCAGAAGTTTGACGCTCAAATTCTGAAATTCATGCCAAACATTGGCCAAGACATTAAGCTTGATTTTCCCACAGATTAATTATTTTAGAGTGGGAAAATTTTACAAGTAGATATCCTATAATGATACCTTTTCGAAACTTTTCGTTCTTTTGAAATTATCCGATATATAAAAATTACATCACTGTTTGCATAGGCAGTGTACGTTCCCATCCAGATGTGGACTCTACCGGGTCTAAGCAACGCCCTGCGTACCTGGATTTGTTTTTGCCTCGATCTGGCATCAGCTTCACCGATTTTGAGATGAAATTTGGCCTTATTATCTAGATTTCGATATGACTAGAAATCTATTTTTCTTTAGGATTTTAGCGACAAATCACACGGTAACCTGTTTTTACGTTATTTTTATTATGTCTTGAATAATGACATCAACAAATCATCGGTATAAAATAGTTCACTATGTATAAAATATGGATATTTAAACATTATTGTCCCATCTTAAATACTAAATATTAGTCCAATTAATGATATAATTGTAAATCATTTTGAACAAAATATAACAAATAACATAAATTGTGACAATTAAAAAGACGTGTTGTATCTATGAAGCAGATTATATTCATTTACAATTTTAGTGTAACCAATAGATTTATGCAACAGAGAAAATATTTTAATAATGTCTAGTTCAGAACTTAACTACGGTAAATGGCAATAACGATTAAATGGTCTATATATATATATATAATGTATGTTAGAATAAGTAAATCATCAGTGCATGTATTAAAAAAACAACCTATATCAGTTATCAGAAGTATATTGTTATCATCAAAAGCAGACACCAAAACTGATGGAAAAGAGATTGGGAAAATGAGAAAGAACTTAATCCCAGACCCGGTTGCTCAATCGTTAGCAGGAGTGGACCAGTAGTTAGTGGTACGGAAGGAATGATTATAACGTTCTCAAATTTGTTTGATCAACGCTTCAAAATGTTCACTTACCATGGGATATTAACGTTTGAACTTGAACCAGATGTTCATTCCACCCTCACCCCTTCTCATTTTACAAATACGTATTCATTTAATTATAACATGACCATTTAATCATGAATTTTCATAACACTCCATTCAGTGTATTAATTATTTCTAGTGTTGATGTGAATCTCACCTTTTCATGAAATGTTTTGAACAAGGAGAGAATCCAATATTTTAACCATACCGCTGTGTTACTTTTCTTCTTCCCCACATCTCCTAGGATTAGGGGAAGGGAAAAATCTATCGGACTGTTAGTTCCTATTAAAATTAAGATAGACTTACATTATAGAGCTTTAACAAATTGGCCCGGATGAAGGACAACATATCCATGCAACTTAATGAAGAATCCAAGAAGCACACTGTATTGGTGAAACAAGAACCCTAATATTTCTATTCCGTTGGACGGTGAGAGGAATGTGTCGTTCGCGATGGCGTTACACAATTAATCATGTAGTAGCTGATCATATTAAACTGAATAAAGAATACTTTATGTTCTAGAAAAGCAGACATTATAATCGATATCATACAAAAGAAATCAGTCAATAATTATATAAAAAAGTTTGTGTTTCATAAAAGTGTTTTTCATTATTTTATCTACTTATATTAAAAATATTTTAATTAGCCTGAATATAGATGAAGCTCTATTTAAGTTGACCTTATAATCCAATGATATAAAAATACATTTCCATGAAGAATCTCATATAAAGTTTCAAGGGAGTAATGATCATTTTTTCTTCAGATGAAAGAATGCAGCCACTCCAGCCACCGCTGTAAGTAGAGAGGTCAGGCCAACACCATACAGGAAAGCTGGTACTGAAGGGGCGTTTCTCTCCCAGAAGGTCGCGTGGAAGGGTTTGGCTTGCACGTGCTGTAAATACATTGTTACGGGGCTTTAATTATCATGGTATGTACGACAATGGGATCCACAAGCTTCAAACACTTCATTGTATTCTTATCACTTTAAACTATTCTTTCGTTTTCTTTGGAAACCGAAAGTTAAGGATTTTTGCAGGAATAGTTATAGTTAAACCATAAACGTCTTGGTTAATATGTATTTTGCCTCAATACTGTTTATCATATATGATCTGTATAACAAATATGATTCACTCTACTTCTTACGAAAATTAATATCAGACCATAAAGTAACAAAAGTGATCACCATTGATAACTTAAATTTAATCAATGTGAGACTATTTGAAGCTAATTGAAATGACAGTCACTCTATATATAACCTTGTACTAAATGTTGAAAAAACAATTCAGTGTCATATCCTTGTGGAATGGCACGCTTGGTAAACAAACGACAAGACAAGACAGGGAAACTTAAAATCGAGACAAAATGTTGTACAGGCTCTACTGCTTTTGTTTAAAAGTCTTGTCGCAAGGAATTTATTTTATCAGTTCAATTGTTTAGGGATTTTACGCTCTACTGCGATACCCCACAAAACATCCATGTGTTCTGGGGTTGTACACTGCATTGCGGTACCCCACAAAACTCCCGGGTGTTTAGAGGCCGTACCCTGCACTGCGGTACCCCACCAGCTCCCCCGATGCTTAGAGGCTGTACACGATACTTATACCACCTATTGTATACTTTACGTACCTGGTTTTCTGGTTCGTCTTTCCAAATCTCAGACTCAGGTATCCGTTTCTCAACAAAAAGTATCTACAAAAAATACATATTTAACATTAAAAATTGATATTTGGGGAAAAAATCAGTGACCATCGACCATAACTTGCCATAAAACTATCACATCAGACGTTAAAGTCATCTATTTCAGGTGTTGATAAAGTCAACAAGCATGGAGTTAATTAATCATATTTTAGAAGATAATGCCGTGGTTTATTTACTTAGAGTGTTGACTTCATGTTTTTTTTCCCTTTATCTGACGGTAAATCAGTTGATATATCAAAGACAGACACATCTTTCCCCATATCAACAATCAACAATCAATGTTTCCAATATATTTTTTTCATGTTCAATGTCATCTAATATATATGAAGTCGCCAACAGATGAACGAAATGTCTTTTCGCGTACGTGCCACCTGCTAGACTCATTATCGACACAAGTATCAATTACATAATAACATAATATATATTATTTGGTAAATCAGTTTCCTCACTAATATAGTGATCTCGTATCTATCATATATACATCATATTCATCCATAAGCCATCCCATATAGAGAACAGTAAAGTCGAATCTATCCCTTTTATACACCATCGTGAACCAATACCCAACCCATACACATCATTTTCAACGCTATCCGTCCCAAACACACACTATACTGAACCCGTATCCTCCCCATATCAACGCCACAGTGACCTTTACCCATCCCATAAACATCATTGTTTACCCTACCCGTCCCAAATACACACTAGACTGAACCCGTATTCTACCCATATCAACACCACAGTGAACTTTACCCATTCCATAAACATCATTGTTTACCCTACCCGTCCCAAATACAAACTAGACTAAACCCGTATCCTCCCCATATCAATGCCACAGTGAACTTTACCCATCCCATAAACATCATTGTTTACCCTATCCGTCCCAAATACAGTGAACCCATATCCTCCCTGTATCAACACCACAGTGAACCCATATCCTCCCTGTATCAACACCACAGTGAACCCGTATCCTCCCCCTATCAACACCACAGTGATTTTACCCACCACATATACATCATTGTTTACCCTATCCGTCCCAAATACAGTGAACCCATATCCTCCCTGTATCAACACCACAGTGAACCCATATCCTCCCTGTATCAACACCACAGTGAACCCGTATCCTTCACATATTACTATAATGTAACACCAGTGAATCCATATCTATATGCCATCATTTTTCAATGACGAGGAATACCAAATAAGGTAATGTACCATTACCTCTAAGTGAGAGGTAATACCTAATACGGTAATGTATCATCACCTCTCAGTAAGAGACAATACCAACTAGGGTAATTACCATCCCATCTCGATTAGATACCAAATACGGTTATGTATAATGTTATGTATTAACACTTCCTAATGATAAACATTGGCAAAAGTGTACCTTCATTTCTATTAGAGAAACGTGATAGCGTTTTCACCACTGTTGACTGTTTACAATGTTTTACCTTGCATCGAATTTCTATTATAATTCTGTGTCGCTGCATGCAAACAGGACGAGAATTATCTAGTTCTAGTTGTGTTCATACCATAAGGTACTTTCTGTTTGAAATTATATCCGAAATTCCCTGTGTTATCTAGTAAATATGGTAGGGTGGTAAGATGACTTATATCTTGTTTTGAAATTAACGTTTAGCAGGTAATTTTCGCAAGTCAATTTTTCGCGACTTTCTTTTAAAACGATTTTAACGAATTAACATTTCGCAATGTGGACCTAAAATGACATATACATACGTGTCTTATTATATCAAGAAAGCAATTTTGGAATAATTTTACAGTACCACGATATAGTGAAAAATCTCCGGTACAATAAGCAGCTACACGGTAATGTTTTATGGAATATTTGCGTGAAACGTGTATGCTAACGACATAAGAAGAATGTATTCGTATTATGTTCCTATGCAATTATTAAAATACATATTTGTAAATATATAGATATGTTCGAATGTTTCTCCTGTTGGAGAACATTTGATTTTTTTCACAAAGGAGTTAAATCAGCTGTTAATATGAAAAATGAGTATTTCAAATATTTTGATTAAAATCCGTTTCAGAGTCAGTTTTTTTTTTTTTCGCTACTGACTAAAATCTGAAGATAGTATTACTTTTTTTGCATCCTCGCAAGTTCAGATTATTTGAAGACACGGAAATGGGTCTGCTGACGACGTGTTGTAGTGCGAGCACAACCAGTCAATATAAAGTATTGAAAACAAATGACGGGAGTGTCACTAAAACATATTGACACTTACAGATTTGGTCAACGAATTTCTATAATCAACAATATGATACATCGATTATTTAAACTGTTAAACAGCAAGAGACCACAATTGGCTAACCTCTCTGGCTGCTCTCTCTCCTGCTTGTACAGCTCCTTCCATATAACCAGACCACTGAGTGGAAGTTTCTGTTCCAGCAAAGTGCAATCTACCCACTGGCTTCCGTAGTTCTCTTTATCAAGTGAAAATAAGACACTGCATATTACATAAACTACATCACATATATAGAAGATCAAACAAATACATAAAATCGAGAGTAAATTTAGGCGTCACGATAATCGCGTTGGCTGATGGACGCCGAAGGCACTTTATAATGGGCAAAAAATCATCTTAAGATGCTGATGAAAGATGGTGATTCAAATATCACCTTATTTTTATAGAAATCTCGATACATTTGTACGATATACCGACGTCTTACAATCTGTCCATAATTGACAGAAATTGAATTAAAATTGATTATATAAGACGACGAAACAATATCACCTGTCTAAATCAGGCCAAATAAGTCGGATCGCTTAGTCATATAATTACGTTATTATATCTGGTCTTCCAAAAACCAGTCAAGCGTCTCAAATAAGACGGACCACCTAGTCATATCAATATGACGTCATGATGCCTGGTGGACCAAAAACCGGCCAACCATCTCAAATAAGACGGACCACCTAGTCATATCATAATTACATTATGATGTCTGGTCTACCAAAAGCCAGCCAACCGACCCAAATGGGTCGGACCACCTAGTCATATTATCATTATATCATGACGTCTTGTCCAATAAAAGGCCAGTCAGCCGTCCCAAATGGGTCGGACCACCTAGTCATATTATCATTATATCATGACGTCTTGTCCAATAAAAGGCCAGTCAGCCGTCCCAAATGGGTCGGACCACCTAGTCATATTATCATTATGTTATGACGTCTTGTCCACTAAAAGCCAGTCAACCGTTCCAAATGGGTCGGACCACCTAGTCATATTATCATTATGTTATTACGTCTTGTTCGCTAAAAACCAGCTAACCGTCCCAAATGGGTCGGACCACCTAGTCATATTATCAGTATGTTATGACGTCTTGTCCACTAAAAGCCAGTCAACCGTCCCAAATGGGTCGGACCACCTAGTCATATTATCATTATATCATGACGTCTTGTCCAATAAAAGCCAGTCAACCGTCCCAAATGGGTCGGACCACCTAGTCATATTATCATTATGTTATGACGTCCTGTCCACTAAAAGCCAGTCAACCGTCCCAAATGGGTCGGACCACCTAGTCATATTATCATTATGTTATGACGTCTTGTCCACTAAAAGCCAGTCAACCGTCCCTAAAAACATTTATGAATCATACCTTCCAAACGTTGTGAGGAAACCCGGTGGCATCATGACAGTGTAACATCCTCCAGACCACTGTTCCTCCATCCAATTTTTCTCCTCATAATGTACAGGCTACAACATAAAGTTTATCATTGATAATCATGTTGTCTGACAAGTATATTATATACAGAAATATTAGATGGGACAGGACTAAAGATTCTACACCTCCAACTTTGCAAACAAAAATTTGTAATCCTTCAGAAGCTCAAGTTCATTTTATCTTTAAAGGTAAAACAGACAGTACTGTGAAGCTGCTTTTCAACGGAAATTGAAAATAAAAACACAGGCTTTGAGTAACTTGAAAAATCATATGACTATGCTGTCTTCTAAGACCCCAGTATTTTTGTAGGACATGGGCCCTTTTACAAAAAGGAATTGACATAAGGAAGGTAAACTAGCAGAATACACAAACAATAACATTGTATCTTTGTTAATTTCCTTGTACATATTAAACTCTTCGTATCATGTTTTAACGATACTGTGCTTGGATGTTAGAATGCATTGTAGTTGATTGTAAAGATGATTGGTTAAGTAAACTCAGGTTATGTACCGATATGTTTTGATAATCATTGTTGTTTTATTATTCTCCAGTGTCAAATCGTTCCTTGTTGACAAATTTTACTCATAAGAAGTAGCTTAGTGCACAATATTTCAGATACTGAACAGGAATATGAAAAAAACACACTTACATGTAAGGCCTCTTGTGATTGGAAGACTTTTGAATATAGTTCACTAATTCTTTGTTTTCGTTCTTCTTTTGTCAGCTTACACAGTGTTCTGGCTTTGTCAGCTAGAATAAAACTGGAGATACAACTTCAATTAATCATTTTGTATAAAAAGAATCTAGCACTCCATGACATTATTATTACTAAGAATGACATGGTAAAAAATAAATACGTGTGAATTTTGATTTTGATATTAACAATGATTAACGCGAATATTATACTATTTTTAGAATAAAATTGACTGATTATTTTATAAATAACGTCGCATAAAATGGTATCAAAGAGATGTTTTATTCATATATCATAGCTGATAAATCACGAACAATTACCAAATAGAGATATTCCAATTATGACAATCCAGACATAAGAAGTATTATCAATATCCAATCTCGTTATGTTTACTTTGACAAAAGTCAACGTACGATTGATGGTATGACAAAAATAACTACAAATACCATTAGATGGTTTTGATCTTCTAACTGATATCAGGAAAACTTTAAATTGAAATAAAAGGGCAGTATTGGAGGCATTTGTATGGTAACTCACCCCATAAGTGCCGGTAGATCCTTTCCATCAGGTTTTACATCATCCATAGAGAATCCTACGATGGCTCCATCGTCAACTATGGCTGCCGACCCACAATACCCTACAAAATACCAGTTCTTGTATCAAGACATTGAACAACAAGAGATCGACATGGATTGCTCTCAAATACGTTTTCATCATTTCAATTATGCTGGCTCCAGTAATACAGATGTTGATGTTAAATGATAGCAAAAATTAAATAACATTCATACTCAGATCGTCCAAATCGACTTACACAAGATCACAGGTGCGTATTTGCATAGAAATCGTTATGGAAAATCGATTATTTGATAAGTTCCTTTTTCAAACCAATTTTAGTCCAATTTCCCACTGCAACATGCAGCAAACCGTTATATCTTGTAGAATATCTAGGAATTGTGCTTCAAAGCTGCACATACCAAGATAAGTTTGATGTTCCTGTTTTGTTTGGCCGAATTATATAAACAATAAAAAAGTGTTTTACCTTTCGACCTCCAGAAGGGAGTTTTGAAGTAGAGAAATGTTTTAATAACAGAGCCCATCGGGATTCTCTGTATGAGCTGGTTACGGAGACAGGGTAGTGACGGTTCATACGTGATCTTGTTTTGAAGAGGAAGAGGCGTGGCTATTATCACATACCTCCCCTATACGGAAGTAAAAAAACGAATGTTTAATTCTTCGTTATCCAATTATAAAGAACTTCCTTTGAACGGATTTTTGCAAATGGGATAGATGCCTGAAATAGTTTCCAATCAGATAAAAGATGCATCAATCATGCTTGAATATAACTGGTTCTGTAAAAACCATTATATCCATGTTAAAATCGTAGAGATTCCATGATTAAATACTTCAGTTTGACTATGTTCTATAATGGTTTTCATACGTTTAACAAGTGCATTAAAAACTTATATCGATATATACATACCGCTATTTTTACTATGGTGAAAAAAATGTACCTGATAATCGTTTCCATGGATATCAGTAACCTTCACTCCATTAGTGTCCTGATATATTTTACACACAGGTTGGTTTAGTAAAACTTTATCTGAAAGAAAAAAACAATACCGAAATAACAAACGGCGATATAAAGTTATTTGTTGTCAAATGACAACTATTAATGTAAATAACAATGAACGCAGTAAACAAGGTAAAGCTGATATTGAATGCGAAATGTAAGCCCGGTACAAACGCATCAACGAGTAGTCATTAAAAATTCAAGCGTACCCAGTTTGACTTTTAATTGGGTATCTTTATTGGTCTACATTTGCCAAACCTCTCCGATATACATAATTGCTCTACCTTTGCCAAGCCTACCCGCTATACATTATTGCTCTACCTTTGCCAAGCCTATCCGCTATACATTATTGCTCTACCTTTGCCAAGCCTATCCGCTAAACATTATTGCTCTACCTTTGCCAAGCCTACCCGCTATACATTATTGCTCTACCTTTGCCAAGCCTATCCGCTAAACATTATTGCTCTACCTTTGCCAAGCCTATCCGCTATACATTATTGCTCTACCTTTGCCAAGCCTATCCGCTATACATTATTGCTCTACCTTTGCCAAGCCTATCCGCTAAACATTATTGCTCTACCTTTGCCAAGCCTATCCGCTGAACATTATTGCTCTACCTTTGCCAAGCCTATCCGCTATACATTATTGCTCTACCTTTGCCAAGCCTATCCGCTATACATTATTGCTCTATCTTTGCCAAGCCTATCCGCTATACATTATTGCTATACCTTTTCCAAGCCTCTTCACTATATATTGTTGTTTAACCTTTGCTAAGCCTATCCATTTTACATTATTGCTGTATGCTATCAAGCCTATCCGACGCTATTCATTATTGCTCTACCTTTTCCAAGCCTCTCCGCTATACATAATTGGTCTACTTTGCCAAGCCTATCCGCTAAACATTATTGCTCTACCTTTTACAAGCATCTCCGCTATACATTATTGCTATACCTTTTACAAGCATCTCCGCTATACATTAATGCTCTACCTTTTTCAAGCCTCTCCGCTATACATAACTGGTCTATTTTATCAAGTACCTTCGCAATACATTAATTCTCTCCCTTTTACAAGCCTCTCCGCTATACATTATTGGCCTATTTTACCAAGTGCCTTCGCTATACATTACTGCTTTACCTTTGCCTAGCTTTTCTGCCATACATTTGCTGATCTGTTGTGATCCACCCACAAATTTTCTTTCCTGGAATGTAAATAAGATATGAATAAATCTCATGGATTTCTATGGGTCTTTAGTATCATGTTTGTATTATGTTTGTTTCAAAAATCCATTTTCATAGTTTAAACCGAATCATCAAGCTAAATTCATATGTTTTTAGTACTGGTATATTCCTCATTATGCTTCTTTATTAGAGATTCGTTGTGAATTCGACAGAAAAGTTGATACCCGAATAATCACTTTAAGAAAATGCTTATCTTTACATACAAGTGAGAGATCATGTGTAAGTGAACCAAAATCTGGATATGTGCGATATGTTATATGGTCTCAGGAAGGTGGTTCAGGAATGATTGCTTTAGTCTGAAATTAATGTTTTAACGTATATTCCTACAACTAAATATTTTACGTAGTTGTGATATCAACCTTATAACTCTAAATTACTTACTTGGTAATGACCAAGAATTATTACATAGCTGGTGTAGTCAGTGTAGCGGATATTATCGTCAGGATTACCTGTGCCTTTATATATATATATATAATCTTTTAAACATTTTAGACATTGATGATGTAAGACACAGATTTCCTTGAATTGTTTTCGGAGATACAGCTGTGAGACATTGAACTTTGGATGATAACAGCAGGAACAGCACGTCTTCTAAAATACCACAGCTGTTTCGTCATCTTGTTGGGATATGTATCTTTGATGCGAGTATGAGGACTTGAAGGTTTTAAATATTTTTTTTGAAATCGAAGCAAAGGTTAGAGTGCATGATATGATTTTTTATATTATTACCTCATCTAAACGTTCGTTATTTCGAGACGACAAACACAAATCAATATGGTAACGCCATTCAGCGTCCACCGCTAAAATAAACAAGATTTTTCAGCAGTTGTCGGAAACTCTCACCAAGCTTGAATTGATGTTGTGAATGAGAGTTTCAAATTCAACTTTAAAAAAATCATCAGAAGAATATATATCTAAGTTTCATAGGATTTGACTGTAAACTTAAATCATTATCATACTAAGCATCAAATGAAACCGACTTAAGTTTGTTAAAATTGCAATTAAAAAAATGTGACTAGATTTCATTTCATAAAAATTACAACGTCTGTTGTCTATTTAATGAAGGTGTCCCCATGAAAGGAAAATCACAAATCAGCCCATAATGCGTATGACCGCCTTGGACATTGGTACACGCTGCGCAACGTAGTCTCATGGAATTGCCGAGAGCCTGGAAGAACATCAGGGGCAAATTGTTCCATTCCTGGATAGTTTCTAGTCCAGCTTTGCCAACGTCAACGGAGCTTCACCAGCATCGATTCTTCTCCAAATTTCGTCCCTTACAAATTTCATCGGTGCCATATCCGGCGAAAGAGACGGCCAGGAGTGGACATTCACATTATTTTGTGCAAGGTAACCCATAAGTTCTCGAGCAGTGTGGGGACTGTAGTTGCGGCTATGCAGCAACCAAGGGATTGACGTAAGAATTGATAACGTCATCCCTGTACACCACTGCTGTTATACTTTGACAGAAGACGTGAAGAGGTATTTGATGATGGTAACTGAAGGCTTCCCATACCATCACGCGGCGCCACCCGATCTGTAAGTCTGCAAGACACAAAAATAGGCGTAACGTTCGTTACGTCGACGCAACATACGCAATCGGCCATTAACATGGGAAAGATGGAATATAGACTCGTCTGAGAAGAAAGCTCGTCGCCATCGTTGATGATGACTTGCCCATTAAAGATGTTGCTGTCGATGGCGCCGAATGATAATAGGCCCTACGTAAGGGCGTCAGCAATTAATTCCATGTTCACGTAGGCGACGCCGGACGGTCTCGCCGGACACTAGGCGTCTACTACTCTGATGGCAGCAAACCGGGTGATACTGCTAACATGACATCCTAAACGACTGGCTACAATAGTGGCGGATGTACCCGCCTGCAATCTTTCAAGAGCCATTCCTCTCTGCAATTGTGTTAATCGTGGTATCGTGTTTCAAGAGCATTATTCGCGCTGCCTTCACTGAATGAATGTTTTTGGAACGGACCACTTTATAAAGGACATGTCTCGGTGAAAAGATGCATTGGCAACACACGTGATGCCACGTGCAGAATTCGCGATTTAGAGCATAGCGCATGTGTTGGTGTGAACAGTGTCGGAATTGCACGTGCAGAATTCGCAGAGTGTCGGGAGTGAACAAAAACTTGCCATTTCTTCATTTGCACTCAAAATGTTATATTATTGATATTAACAGTAGTATACAAAAGGTCACAACTACAACTTTTCACGTGAAATGTGCGTTTTTATGGGGTTCAGTATCTAACAATCAATACATGTTGTGATGGAGGCAGATGAAAAGAACTGTTAGGTAAATTGTACGAAGATGTTTAGCTACAAATCACGTGGGGCAAGGAAAACTAGAATGGAAATAAAAGTGATACCATCCACCTGAATTTGATTTTAAACATTGCAGGACAACATATCATATAATAATTTGTCAACATAAAATAAAAGCAAAGGAAAAAATAATAGGAAAAAAGAGACCCTAAAACCCAACTATTATTATAAAAAACAATGAATAAGAAAGGAAAAAAATGTGTCTTTTGTACAATCTATGAAAAGAGGGAAGTGAACCGCAATACATAATATTTGTGAAATTATAACCTGGGCACCATTGGTGGAGGCTTGTATCCTGTCAGATCCACCACAGATAGAAGTGTACCACAGAAACCAGAGTAATGAGCATTCGTACGGTTCACTTGTCACATTTAAACGTACATAGTCAGCAGCTTGCAGATACACCTCTCTGAAAGCATTATCATAACAGGACATCTATATGAAACATCTTAATATCCCACAGTTTAAAAGAATCATGTTTAAAACAAAGATTCAAACTCAACATCATGGCTCAGACGTGATTCCTGACATGGCATATACATTATCCCAACACCAACAAACTTAAGTCCAATTCTTTGTCAACCATTACCACAACAAGCTATGTAGCAAACCCTCTATATAATACCACCAAAACACACAATACAGTCAATATCTTGAAAAAAAAATAACCATAACAAAGATTTTGTTAATCTATAAATGTCTTTATGATACTTCTTTAGTTTTCAATGTATTGTTACAGTTCGAGATAGATCCAGTCAGTGTTCATCATTGCACTACAACCAAACACAAACTGCTTTAAATACATCTTAAGAGAGTGAATAAGTCAAACCAACATCACAGACTGAAATATAACCTATGTTAACCATCAAAATAAGAGAAGAGCTAACTGCAACACATCAAGGTAATATAGTAATATAACAGGCATTTGAATCAAGCAAACAAATTATGGCGTGGAAATTTACAATAAAATTTAGAAAATGACTATGTAAGGCACAAAGCACAAGGTAATATAAATAACTGGTCATGTCATGGTAAACAATCTGTCAGGAACTGTAATAATTGGTTGATTTCTCAATTAAAATTTTAGTTAAAGAATGAAACTAAATGTTCAACTCACAGTAAAAACTTCACTCGGTCATTTGTTGATTTCTCAATAAATACATAAGTTAAACAATGTAACTAATTGGTCGTGTCACAGCGATGTAGAAATCGCATTATCTACTTTACTCAAGCAATGGAATTAATTGGTGGATTTCGCAGTTCTTATATGAGTTAGTAGATATTATAGCAAAAACGCAAAATATGTAATTAATTGATAAATATCACATTACAAAATAGATATGTAACCGGTTAATAGACCTTGGAGTACAAACTTAACAAAGGTAACTAATAAGCATTCGTCACAGCAGAAACCTGAACAAAGACATGTAACTAATCAGGAGTAGATTCCTCAGTCACAAAGTACTAGTTAGATATCACAGTGCAGATTTCAATCAAATAATGTAACTAATTAGGATATATCAAATTTCAGTCAATCAATGTAACCAATTAGATATCACAGTACAAACTTCAGTCAAGTAATGTAACCAATTAGATATCACAGTATAAACTTCAGTCAAGTGATGTAACCAATTAGATATCACAGTACAAACTTTAGTCAAGTAATGTAACCAATTAGATATCACAGTATAAACTTTAGTCAAGTAATGTAACCAATTAGATATCACAGTATAAACTTTAATCAAGCAATGGAATAAATCTAGAAGATATTACCGTACGACAACCAGGATGTATTTTGATAGGTCAGTATATTTGGTATAATAATTCAATGGCAATAATCCGCAGAAGGGAAACATCCGAAGAGAAGTCCATGTCAAGACTTCATTGACATATTGAGTATTTTGTTTTCGTTACCTCTGTTCCATGTGGAAAGACAAAAATATACTTGTCTCTTTTTACTGGTTATATAGTAAGGACCGAATGATTCACATGTAGAAACCGTGATATGACCGAGAGACATATCGGTTATTATGTTGTTACAGAAACACATTTACCCACAGACAATAGAAGTACTGTAAACCAACATTTTGTTAGGGAGTGTCTGACCGGATATCGAAACCATATCGTTAACGTTTACAAGGTGTTAAAATTGATAAAGCGTTAGCCAACATAATGCTTTACAATACATGTAATAACGCCAATATAGACTATATCCTAAACTATATGAATTCAAAACCTAGGAATATAGGTTTTTAAATCCAGTGGAAGATGAACTTTGACATTTCAGCATTGAGATATGGAGTTTATGCGATGGTACGTAATCGGCATTTTTTCCTGAAAGAATTCCAACCCTCCTGATTCCGATATCGATGGGAAAATGATCAGTTTGTAGGAAAAGATCGAAAAAGTTATCAACTAGACTGTTTGAAATGTACACATTGCTTCGGTGACATCGAACAAAGAGACGCTTGATGTATTTTCTTTGAACGTAGTTGTGGCTTTTAGGACAATGTTGTGGCTTGATCCAATTATAAATGTGTTAAATAATACTAACGAGTAGAAATCTATGTGCCCGTTATGAACTATGCATATGTTGTTATTTCTTGGCGATCTCCAAATTGATTGTAACAATAGAGTTATAGACATCTCATGTATTACTGCCTTTTGTGTTTAATATAAGTTGTTTTCAGCTGACTAGATATGTGTTATATGCTCAATTTATCAACATTAATTTACTTGCCAAAACTTTAAAATGTTTGCGAACACGCTAACGATTCCAACTAATTTAGAGAAATAACAAAAAGATAAAGATGAAATATTCATTGCTGAGTACATCTTTTGGGTAATGTTTGCTTGTCTATTCTGTGTATTTTTGTTTCAAATGCTAACTGATTTCAACCTATGAAACAAACATGAAAACAAAAAGAGAAAGAGCTATTGTTTTAAATAAGAGACCTGGCCTCCATTCGTTGTGGAAAATATTCGATCCAGTCCTCCACACTGTTTCACATACCAAAGTAGCCAGAGAAGTGAACATTCATGGGGTTCAGAGGTAACATTCACATTGACGAACTTTCTGGCAAAAGTCTTGACGCTCCTGTAAACAGCAGCAATAGAATCAAAACACAACAGAAGATTTTATGAAGCACATGACAGCCTTAGGTTAAAATCCCTTGTAGGTTATCAATCCTATTCCCATCTGCTACGAGGAAGTCTACACCTGTAAGAGTATATCCGTTATGTAGTGTGTTAGTTATAGGTTACAGCGCGCAGAAAGAAGGTTATACTGTGATTTATGCGCAATTACGTCATCAAAAAGACGTGGTTTCGTTTTGTATTTAGACTGTATTTATTGTCTCCGACAAAACCAAACAAACAGGAAACCATTGCATATCAATATTCTCCATGGTTACATAAAACCAATATACATGTATATAGATACAGCAATACCTGCGCTTTAAATATTATGGATTAGTGTAAAATAAATACCTTTGACTGAATAGAGTGCACGAAAAAAAGCCACGATGTGTTATCTTACTTTGTCCAGACATGTTTGTCAAAGAATTCCTGCATAGTCATTTTATCCCATTCCTCAGCATGTGGTGCCATCCAGGGGGCGTCGGCTGGAATCTAAAACATAGTCTAACTGTAGTGGAAGTCCTTAAGTAAACCTTTATGTATCCTTATGTTGGATTTACCGAATAAAGTACCATAACATCATCAACAATCAACCTAAAACAATGCTTTCATAGGAAAACCCATAAAAAGCTAAGTGAATGGTACAAGGTGAATTTTATATGACATACAAGGAAAAAATAGTGATCATTTAAACTCTTTAAAAAATGCAAAACAAAACGAAGAGAAACGTTCAAATAAAACAGGAAAAACGATGATATCGAAATCACTTGTATCCGATCAATCCACAAAATACAAAGCACATACTACGAAAAAAGATTACATACGTTTAACCTTGATGAAATACATGCTTACCTCTTCACCCATTTTATCCATCAGTCTTAGTATATTATTCATATCGAGGTTGGCAAGAAAGCTGCCCATGGAAGGAAATGCATCATGGAATCTCTTGGATTTTCCCTTTTAGAATAAAAAAAATAACATTGGTTTCTAGAATTGCTATTTTTTAATATAAGTCAACGACAAGGAAACGAATTATGATTTATTTGACTAAAAACGGAAGTTAAACACTGGCATACAATAAATTTGATAGATCAATTATCTATACAACGTTTGGTTTGAATTGGTAGAGGGGAACTCGGAAATAAGGTTGTCTCAACTAATCAGAGAAAGTAGACGCAATATAAGATACAAATTCATTATCTAACACTATTCTGATAACAAGATTTACATGATTTCGATAACTTACATTTACATAGTACACCAAGTCTTCCACTTCATTTGTGAGGTAAGTCTCCACCCCAAACTCATCAGCCAATCGCAAAATTCTGTTCTGTGTAGGTCCTACATATGAACCGCCAAGGTCCACATAATTCACGGTATCATTCTGAATAGAGATGTCCGATAAATCATTAATATTCGTGGGGGATTAATTTTCATTGAGTTCGTGTTTACCCTTTATCCACGAATTCTTAAGTTCACAAACTGATATGATCATCTAATATCAACCATCAAAATCGTTAATTATTTTACCGTAACTATCATAATCTGTTTTGATGTAGAGCATGACTATTTTACCGTAATAATCAAAATCTGTTTTGATGTGGAGCATGACTATTTTACCGTAACTATCATAATCTGTTTTGATGTAGAGCATGACTATTTTACCGTAATTATCAAAATCTGTTTTGATGTGGAGCATGAGTATTTTACCGTAATGATTAAAATCTGTTTTGATGTGAGCATAGAAAGTAGATAGATGGACGAGAGTAAGAACTATGGAACTACTATTTGACATAACATTAGAAGGTTACTTACATGTTCTGTAAACGTACGTCCTCCCACTCTGTCTCTGGCTTCCAACACAAGGACACTAAGGCCTGTCCCATCAAGCAGCTTGGCTGCAGACAAACCTACAATCAAAGGAAGATATCACTATTCTCTTTTCAAAACGCATTGTACTTTATCTTTTATTAGTAGACGTGTTTGATGCTCGTAAGTTTGGCTGTTGTCTCCATTGTTAAAAACCTTGTTCTTGTTTGAGAACGAGTCAAAGCTTACTTTGACAAAGATTTACATGGCTGTTGTCGTCGATGAAGCAGAAGGCGCTTAAACTTCTGAAACACTTGTTCTTATTTCCTTATACTTTTTCAGGAGTCTCTGTATATTTTTTCATGTTTATATTTTGCCCCCTTCATTTTATTGAATTTGACTTTAGATTACGATTATCCTGACATGTTGGTAATTTTTGTTGTCATTCCATCTCATTCTTACGTTGTGCGGTAATAGCATTACGAGGTCGGTGTGTCGTATCTCTATCTCCCAATTGTTGAGTGTTTAGAGGTCTTAAAGTTTAGATCACCTAAAACAAACAACACTTGTTCATTTCTTTGAGAATATATTGCATAAGACTTAGGAGTTGCTTAACTATATATCACTAAGTAAAACATACCTTTCTATCCATGAAACTGAAAATAACTTATTCAGATTCACAAGTACAATCGGTCAAGGTCACCTGTTCTTGATTACACTGTACATAGTTTTATTGTTTGGTAAATATAATGACATATTGACAATATTTTTACGATTGTTTCCACCATATCTACCTTCATGAAGACATATTTTATATCGAAATTAGTCTCTAAATTTTAAGGTACGGTTTTGTAAGCAATATCACTTTTAGCATGAACCCCTATTTTCCGCATGCACAGTAGTCACACACATAATTATAGATAAGATTGGGTAAAAAAGATGTCCCTAATCGACTTGTTATTCAACCCAATAATTCTCCTGTCGATTAGATAACAGACGACAGATGCCGCACTTTATCATTCCGTTCTCAACCTATTTATTTAAGTTTGGACATGTAGAGAATGTCGGGCCTATTATATGACGTAATTCGTTCTCGTATACTACATCCAATAATAAAAAATGCAGCATTGTCAAAAAATATGAACAAGGACTCCTTACTATATAATATATATAATGAAAGAGATTTTATCAATCTGGCCTTTTAAACTATATGCAATTTTTTAGTATAAAAATAACATACCATTCAGTTGAATATCGAGATATTAAACTCTAGCAGCGTCCCTGATTCCCTTGAGACGGATATATGTGACTATAACGTGTCATAGAATTATGGACAAAAATCTATTCCGCGCGTGACTGCCTTCAAAACTATTGGCAATTATACGACCAAAGATACCATAACAAGACGGTCCAATTCTCAAGTTTACGTTCTCTTTCATTTTTGTTGTCAAATGTCACTGTTTTACGGCACTCGAAACCGAGATTTTTTCGGCAAACAGCAACAGCAATTTCCTTTTGTGAAGGGAAATTATCTCAGTTAAGACATACATTTAGATATACAATATACAGTGTATGCGTATACGCATACATATTATGTGCGTTAAAGAATGTATCATTTATGTTGGCATAAACACCTATATAACCACACGCGCACACCCATAACCACGCGTGCATGTGTGCGAAAGTATATGTATGTATGTGGGTGTGTGTTTATGTGTATGTGCTTGTGTTCGTGTGTTTTTGTCGTCACCATTTATATGCCCACATCATAATGGTCACGTGCTGGGTGGCATTTATAGTATTTTTAATGACAGATGTTTCTGGTTGGTTTACATACTGGTCTTGTCGTGTGAATACAAATATAGTCTATTAACAAAACATCCTGACCTTTCTTATTTCTATAGAGGAGTTTCTTTAATGTATTTTGATGTTCTGGTGTACATTTCATCCCTCAAATTCTAGACATATGTAATTTGATTAAGAAATATGCTTACATCAGGAACCCCTGTTACGGCTTGTTCAATGTTTAAAAATAAAACAACAATATAGAAAATATGCTATGCTTCTCATCTGACACGGTACGTTTTGTGTCTGAGCAGGGTTAAATGTTCCCTTTTAGTATAAATATGGTACATGGAATTGACATCGCGATTTTCAGCTTCAGTTTACAATTCACATCATTAAGCGAGTCGCTATACGTCAATCAGGTGTTGATGGGAACTGGTCACATTCCTTCACTGGTGAAAAATGAAGCTTCATTAAGTCAGGCCTAGAGAGGGAAAATCAATCTACTGACTAGCGAAATATCACAAGTTTCCACTATTTAGGGCAGATCATGTGGTTTCTATGTTGGCCACAATCCTGTAGATCGATATGTAAACAGGATAGAGGAATCATGGAGTCGTATTAAGACATATAATGTAAAATAGTGGAATAAAAAAGATCTGAGTAAAGTATGTTTTTTAAACAAACTTGACGGATAATATAGCGGTATAAACGCAGGGTATATCAAACATGTATTGTTCTATTGTGCGCGTGATGTTAGCATTAATGTTAATAGAATATATTTGATTATAACTGTGCTCATAATATTAAAATCATTTCCTAGCCTTAAAATATTAAAATCATTTCCTAGCCTTAGACAAACCTACAAGCGTAATGTTTCTATCACAAATTACCGGATCAGAAGTCAAATTTGGATTGTATATGGATGAGTACGGTAGCAGTAGTTGGTAGTCTTAAAATACACGTTCTATGATTCGCAATCGAAGCAAGAATTTATGAAAAAAAACACGAAAAAGTGAGGTTCCATTCATAAAACAGTTATCTAGAGATGAAAATTAAGGATTGGGAATTTAAAACTTCAGAGACACTTTTGATCAATCTTTAATATGCTATCCTGTAAAACAGTTGTTTATGGGACCATTTTTCATTTTGTACATCATACTGCCCTATTTCAAGCACATGGTACCTCCTCATTCTCTTCTGAAGAGAACATTCCTTTCAACGGAATGTGCACGGAAAAACCAGTATATGCTTGTGAACTATACAGGAACGTATTTCACGAAGGGAATATAGAGAGGATGATATCGTGAAAATGATCGAATTTCAAGCTGACAATATCTTCTTAGAGTTTGACGATAAAATCTAGCTACTGGTTATCTTTTATATCCGAATGAATAAACCGTATTTCTCTTTCAGAGGATTTTGCTGTCTTTTCAAACCAGCACATGAATGTGAGTCTTTCAGCCCCTCTGGAAACGTCGGGCCGACACTACACCAGGGACGAATCGACGTTCGTGAGATAATACATTGCTACCACCTACAAATGCACACTGATCACAGATTCAACATCTTTTTCAATGTAAACTTGTCCCAATCTCGCCAGACTTATCTACAGCATGAGAGTCTTCTGATTTCAGTACAAGTTTGAACATTCAGACATCTCCGTGTAAATTTTATCTGTAGCCATTTATCTGATGAATTTGACAATAAAGTCACCGAAACGTCATACACAAAGTTGCTAACTGGTTGTGATATACACAACTGTCTAGAGATTTTTGAATGCCAGTGACTTATCAAACAAGCAAAAAGTGCAAAACTGTACACAGAATTAACAAATAAGTCTATTCAGTCATCAAACAGCTTGTCTTTCCGCACACTTAAAAATCTACGTCGAAATTAAACTTTATTTATCTTAACACAGAATAATTGACCTAAAGAAGGTACATGTACGGCGTGTTACCGTCTCATTCCACCAACAATAAATGGGGGAATTTTTTGCTAGTCCGGCGAATTCGGAAAAGTAATTAATACAAATGTTTATCATCAGAAGAAATCTTTTGTATGTGTCCTATTTTATTTTCTACAGATCTTCATGGTTGCAACTTAAGCAATGCACTTAAACATAGGAGTTTCCCGGTTTCAAAAGTAATTTTGACACACAGAGTACACATGTACCAACTTTTAGGCAGCTGAACATAATCCATTGTAATTAGATAAAATTTATATCCTTTCATTATAAATTGGTACTAGCGTGTGCTGATACCGAAAAATCAAAATTTACAAAACAATCAAGTGATTATGCTTTCCATTTTTTACAATTAAGATGCCAATGACTTCTATATAAATGTCTGTAGCCCACACGATAAGACGTTACTCCAACTTTATTAGTATATTGATAGTGTCTCATGTTCGATCTCACATTCCGAGATATTCTTTTTCAATGCACCTTTCAATTATTTTTTTCTAATAACGAGTGTCGTGTAATTACTTATATATAAAGGAGCGATTGTTGACCAAATCCCTGGTTATACTGAACGTAGCCGAGGATTTACAATACATGATTGTGTCACGAGACATGGCAAAATGTTTTATCTTTTTATTTTCCTTTCTTGTACGTTAATCGTAATATCGGCATGTACATACAGGATAAACATACCACATGTCCTATAACCGTAACAGGTAGCTGGTATGTTGTCTTTCTCAGTGATCTCTCACACATACTGTACAGATTGGGGCTTATCTCTCTTACTTAAAACACGGACCTCAATTGATATGGTGACGCGCACGGATCATACGTTTCACCTTGGTTCACTTCTGTGAATATATTCTCACCGTGATCTCCAATAGTGAAGCAGAACATTCCTTCCCCAGTCTTTATATTGAACTAATGAATTTGATTGATATAAATAGTATTTTAAGTGTTTTTATCATAGCAACAACATATATTCAACGGATGTGGTCAATATGTGGGAAAAGGGATATGTTTCTTCATTGATTGGGACATTTCTTAAAATAATTAATATCCATAGATGTGTTAATAAGATAAGCTCAAGTACGTAGATAGGCGTATTTACCTTTAAAGCACGATGTTAAATTTCAAAGAAACATGGGTTTTCTTCTGCCATTGGAATATATAAGTATATGCATGTTAATGAAATTAAGAGTCTTTCTGATAGGAAGTGTCTCTTTCACTATCCCCACACGGAATTCGTAAAAAGTACGCTCGATGTTTAATCAACCAAAGCGTATTTCAATGAACATCTTCAAAACTGTGTAACCGTTTACTTAAACAGATGAAAAATATCTATTTATAGAG